GATTTAAACCGATATAGTACCTATACTAAAGCCCCGCAGTAGAGGTAGTCAAGTGGCCGTCCTTTTAAGGGTTGCTACCTAGGGGCTATGGCTATGGACTTGGTTGTCTTTAAGCATCATGCAGAAGAGTTCGATGCTTCTTCTGTACGACTGATAAGAAGAGATCCATTCATGGTTTTCTTATGCCAAGCGTGATACTACCAGCATCATCCGTGGGGCAGATTGTGGCCTTTTTAGTCGTTAGTGTACAGATACCAGGGAATTGGTAGACCTGGCGCAAACATGTCCACAGTAAGCTCGTGATGAATGAAATTGCGTTATTCGGGTCGCAAAGGATATTAGTATTTAGTAGTTTGAAGAATAGTTCCTTGTTTGATCCCTAGGATAGGTCTGGTAACAAACAAGCTCAGTCCGTATAGGTTTTAAGGTAACTAGGCATTTATTCCGAGGATCTTGAAGATCCTCTCTACCCCCTTGTCTCTTCACTACCCTAAGCTCGCAAATCTTTGGCAACCTTAAAATCTGCCAAACGGTATTTAGGCCCGATCCCTTCCGATCCCTCGAACGGTTCACAAGACGGCACCGCTACAGCCTACGATGACGATGTCGATATGCTTATGGATATGATCGAATGTTGCATATTCCTTACAGTAAAGCAAACCTCTCCCCAAAGAAATTGGCATCGATCTAATGACGTCTGTACGCGTATGTTTAACTAGAGGCAGTGTAGATACGAAAGTCACCTCAACAAAGTCAATCGGTGCATTCCGAAAGAGGGAGCTGCAAAGAACAAAATGACGGGGGTTTCGAGATAACGATAGAAGCTTAATAGAAACAAGAGAAAAAGAAGCCGTCGTAGAAAAGATCCATACCCAAGTCTTGGCGTCGTGTTAAACTACAACGTCTCCGCCGACTTGTACAATACGACCAATAGTTTAAAGTCAAGGCTAACCAACCCGAGCACAACCCGCAGTCGCATACATAAAAGAAGGCTAATATTCTCCATCTCTAAAGAAACCACCTAACCACATAGATCATCAATTCCCGCCTACAGTGTTACCGTCGCACTCGTGTACCGACTGGCAGGACATGACGATGAATAGCTTCAGAAGAGGGCATAAGTCTTGCAGGTATAATCTCTTGGCTTTAGGTTTCCTATTACGTGACGACGTTAGATCGGTAGTCTAGCTGCTCGATCTTCTTGACATATTTCCCTTGCTTTCGCGAAGTCGTGGCCGCATTGAGATGCATCGAGATAGGGTAGAATGTGTGGTAGATACATGGTTGGCATGGTTGGAGCAATTCATCCTGGGCAATGGAGAATTATAATATCTCGTGATGATTGTCCGCTATGGCGAACATTATCAATATAACAAGGTTCTGTTATAGTTTTGAGTAGTACGAGAATTACAGACCTATTACATAGACTATAATTGAATAATAGTACGATCTCTAGTCTAGCGCTTCAAAGGCCTTGCCCTGTCTCTCGTCATCCTGAACCACACGTATGTAGCACATAATTGTAAATTTTGATTAATTTTCGACCACTCGTCTGGGATTACACGAAAATGAACTACACACCTCGGATTATCGTTATAGCTTACACATGATAGTCATCGAGGTGGTCTGCTACCTATCATGTGCAGTAGCGCTGCAGCCTTGTTCTTAGTCTGACTTTTAATAAAGGCCATCTTCCCCCGACGACCAATATGAATCTCTCCAGGACTATCTTTTAAATTAACAGGACACAGATTTATAGTAAAGTCATGTTCACACGCAATCAACTCTACCACTTAAAAGGTCAGGTGAGAAGCTAAGGGTAATTGCTAGACAGTCTTTACCAAATGACATCTTCCATAGTCTTGGGTATGTCTTACGAAGAAAAGTTTTCGGATTCGTTCAGGAACCCACATCCTAGCATTATCAGCATTATCAGCATTATCAAATACATGAACTTGAGCAAGTAGTGGTCCCAAGCGAGGGGGTCACTTATCACAGTAATAGGAAGTTTGGTTCGTTCGCTCGTTTATTACTCGAATTTAATTCTGCCCAACTGTAGACCAATCCATATAACCGTCTTGTATGGTCTCTAGTCCGACACGAGTTTCCCTCCTTGAAACCCGCCTCTCCAACTACATACTATATGCTACCTCTTCAAAAAAGGGGTAGAGCGGGTTACAAAGCAAGAAGCGGCTCGACGTTACACGTGTAACATAACAATATAAATCTGCGGTGATTTACATACATAACTATCTATCTACCTACATATATGCATACTAGGTAGCCATAACTAGGACCCAGATTAACCTAAAAGCTTACTTGGGTGCCTACATGTAAACCTGCCCAAGGCACGTTAAATACCTACATATGCGATCGAGGGGAGGGGACCCTGGTAAATCTTCCAAAAAAGCCTACATATGTAGTTGAACGTTAGGTAAGGAAATCGCTTGGTAATATACTTCTAAACATCGTCATCTGAGACTGGAGGTCGCATAAGTAGCTTGAATTACTGAGAATTTGGAGTTGTCACATTACCTGACTTGTTTCCATGGGTTACATACAGTAAGCAACCCATGAGCATGCCAAGACTTGTAAAGCTTGTTGGCCATGGTCCACGCACTAGAAGTATTTGCGAAGAGTCGAGACTATTATCTACTAGACCGAAAACATCTCAAAGTATAATATTAGATATTAATGAGAATAATTTGGAAGCACCGTCTTACATAGTATGGGACGGACGGATTTAGACATGTTGTGAGCGAAGTAGAGGAAGTAGAGGAAGCAGAGGGGCTTGCGGCGGGTCTTCCGCTAATAGACATTCTGAGCCCTGTACTAGAATAGCTGTATGTACTAGAATGGTTAACTATAGCACATATCTTTGCAGTGGCTTTGCCTTTCCCACCTGAAACTCCCCGCCCCGAAATCCTCGGTAGCAACTTTTATCTTCAGGGATAGCCAGCTTACACAGTAAATCGATATAATGATCCATAGTTGCAAGTTGCACGGGTTATGCCCACTACGTAATTAAAGCCCCGGCGAACAAAAGAACATCATTCTGCGTGTAATTAGTACTCGATGTAGGTGGATGTGGGTTATGGTAGTAGGGAAAAAAGTGTAGGGAAAAACGTAGGGGGACCATTCCTTGATCACAGCGTCTTTGGGGAAGAAATGGGACGGTAACAAGGTACGTCCGATCGAAAATCCTTCTGCACCCTAGGTAACAAACCTGGGCTTTCTAATGTTAGCACAAAACTGCACGCCATCATGGTCACCACGTCGGGGGCATGTCAAGGTTATGTCCGGGTAAGCCTTGTAACGTATCCCCCACTGAGACGAGTTACGATGGGCCATTACGTTGGAATTTACTGAATGGAATTATCTTCTAAGTCCACTGTAAGTGTATCATCTGTATGCCCCAATATAGCGGGAAGCGGCGCAAGGCCCCCTTCTATCTAACTAAAAAACTAATAATAACTTAAGCTTACAGAAAAAAAAGAGTTTAGGATGCAAGATTCCTTTTTCCCTGGAGAAACGAGGGCTAATTTACCCACAAAGCATCAAAGCCAAGATCCGAAAATCGAATGATGGCGTCTCACAACTTCCTCGCGCATTTCCGTGCTAACCTGCCTGTCTGTCTGTCTGTTTTCCATCGTATCCCACTCATTGCCTTGCCTGTACCAACAAGACAACCAGCCAGCCAGCCAGCCAGTATGTATCTCGTAACCCACATCCCACAAGCCTGCTACAAGCCAACTATAGGCCTACCGAGGTATGCCTCCCTCCCCCCCTAGTTCCTGTTCGATTCATCGGTGGTGGCACAAACAATAACTATGGTATCTGCAAAGTTCAGCCATTCTCTTCGTCATCCTCTTACCCACTTCGTCCTATCCTCCTTTGCATACAGATAAACAAGAAACCCTTCACTAACCGAGCTGATATTCGGCTTTACCAAGTATTGAAAATTTGCATATACTTGGAAGACATCGAAAAAGCTTCAATCACAAGGAAAAAAAATAAATATCACAAGTAAAATACAGGGACAGAAGTGCCAGTGCAACTCATCTTTCTCCCTTCCCTGCCCCCCCGGACTCACCATAACTCTTGCTAAGCTTGATGTCGTTAGGACTCGCCGCTCATAGTTTACCCTTGTACCTACAGTAGTTTAAAGAATGGCACCAGCTACAAAGTACCTTACCTGCGAATGATGCTCCTTCACCCCCGTCTCTGCATGTATGTACTGGGGGGGTCTTACAGGGGTCACTTTTACACCCCTACCCCTGTCGCCGTTCTCCCCTAACGTCCCTCTCAACCTGGCTGGTACAATGAAGGTATATCCCGCTGATCTTGAAAGTGGTAGACCCACCTAGGCCTGTCTGGGTCCTCATTCGCTCCCCTCGATCTCGCACCCATCTTAACCTATGTAGCAGAGGGTCAAGTTCAGATTCCCCGTCATCTTTCTTCCAACGTTGGCTGTCTACTGCCTGTGCCCCCCAAACTCCCCAAGCCGGGCCCACCCATGCTTCTCTTCTGCGGTTTGGCCGTTCTGCGACTGCTACATGCACATTAATCGCCTCCTTTCGACAAGGGTGCTGACCATGGAGATGAGGGTCTTGCATCTCTTTGTACCTACCCAGTACCTCCCTAGAGCAGGTGGGGAGCACAACGCGATGAGATACCCTGCTCTGTAAGTGGTACTTTGTATGTGTGCTCGTTCATATAGAGACCGCATCTCGACTTATATTAGTCGTCCCATTCGCTCCACCCCGTCTACCTCTTCTCATGCAATATCAATATCCTCTTGCCCAGACGATCACATCTTTTCCATATTAACCTCTATTTATCCACGCCAGTCAACTTCCTCTTCCTTGATAGTCAAGAGATTCCATACCGCGTTGAGACCAGAGTCGAGACCACTATAGCCCCGGGTTTCCTTATGCGTCCTTGCTAGAACCATATTGCATCACCTTTTTTTTTATTTTCGATATAGTGCATATTCTAACATGACAGTCTCACTTCCCCCATCGTCCAATTCGTCAAAGGACGCCCAGGCTGCCCGCAAGCGGAGGAGACGGGCCCCTGCCGGAGGAGCTGCGGATGATTGCTTCACCTGCATCAAGAGAAATACCAAATGCGATAGAAGGCGACCCTACTGCTCACAATGTCTCGAGATTGGGAATGAATGCTCCGGCTACAAGACTCAACTGACCTGGGGAGTGGGTGTGGCGAGTCGAGGCAAACTGCGAGGACTTTCGTTGCCTATAGCAAAGGCACCACCAGTTGCGCCTGTTGGGAAGAAGGCAGCGAGCCGGTCACGGGCAGCAAGCTCTGCAGCGACCACTCCCCGATGGAGCGGTCCGGAAGAGGGGCTACGCAAAGTTCACCGAGACGATGGAAATCATACTGCCGCCGTCCCTACAGCACAGTACGGATCTTATCAAGAATACCCAAGGTTTTCTCATGGAGAAACTCCATCAACCTCCCAAGGGCCTTGGGGAGGCCTTCCAGCATACGCCGGAAACATGAGCTCTCACGACCAGCGCAGGTATCAGAAGCTTGGCCCCTCAATGAGCCATTACCCTATAATGGGCGACTCACTATCGTCGTCTGTAGACTCGCTAAGCGACGTCGAGTATGCCATGGGACATTCTTATGCTAGAGAAGAGATGCCTTTCGTTCACAGCCCTGGCATCATCTACGAAAATTATACAGCCCAAAATTCGCCTATGCCTCAAAGTCCCGCCTCTGCGATTATGATCGACCAACGAGCACCAACTTCGTGTCCTGGCCTAGTCTACGGTCCGTCGGAACCCAGTTCGAGCCTCGGCTCTCACCCTGACTCTTATGGGCCCCAGATGGCCCATAGAATGGTCGCGGATAGCGACACTCTGAGTAAGGATCACGCGTTCCGAAATCCCACGCCTCGGCTCACTGACAACTCCTCGCAGGCGTACCTGAGATGGAGCCCTACGGTACCAGCCCGCACTCCACGGACGGGTCTCACTGGGCAACTGCGATTTCAAGAGATGATGATGTGACGCCCTCCGCCTCGGCCAACTTAGCCTTTCCGTATGAGAGCCAGCCGATACAGATTAGCCCTGATCTCATTGCTAAGATGCCGTTCTTTATGGACTATTACGAGAATATAATGTGTCCTTCGATGGTACTCGTAGATGGCCCGAACAATCCATTCCGAGATCACATCCTGCGACTAGCATCCGGTAGCCGCAGTCTACAACACGCTATCTGTGCTCTGGCCGCCTGTAACCTGAGGATGAAGAGAAGGTTAAGTCTTGGTCAACGTGCCAGATCAGACAGCACCGGATCTGAACGACTTTCCGAAGCTCAATCGGACCACCACTCCTTAAACGAAGAGCACCAACATCGAAATCTAGCTGTTCATCTTTTAAACGAACAGTTAAATGACCCCATGAAATCCTGCCATGACTCTGTCTTGGCTACTATACTACTTCTCTGCCACTACCGCATGGTCGAATCCGGAGTTGCAAAGTTCCACACGCAGTTTGCCGGCGTCAAGAAGATACTCAGCATGCGAGGTTCTGCCCCTTACCAAGGGTCTAGCGAATCTTCGTGGATGGAGGCTATTTTCACCTACTTCGACTCGATTTCTGCTAGCATCAACGACCGCGAGGCCCAACTTAACCATTCTTTCTATGGTCTTCCCTCGGATGCCAACTTACTACCCCCGGGAGCCGAGAACTTGGTTGGCTGCGACAGGGAGCTATTCAAGACCATTAGCAAACTCGGTCGTTTGAACCTCTTATCACAACATCATCATCACGTCCAGAGCGTTCTATCAACACCCAACGCTCATGCTGGAACACCAACGACTTCGCCTCCCCTAGGTTCCCCCATGGGACAGCAATTCAAGCAAACCAGCCCTCCACTTGGAGATTTCTTCAGCATAAATCATCATCGCTATGATGGCAACGGCTTCGTTTCGCAGCTTGACGACGAGGAGATCCTATCTACAGGGCTTTGCCCCTCGCCGCAATTCGACGAGCACCGCTCAATTTTCTGGCGCGAATGGAAAGAGGCTCGCATGGCTCTCCAGAGCTGGGAATTTGACACCCAGCGAGTCGCCGCATCCCTTCCCAACTCGGCAACCCAGGCTCAGATACGCGACCTTCACTCTCTCTCCGAGGCTTTCCGCTACGCCGCTCTCCTCTACACCGAGCGCCTAGCTTCCCCCAACCTCCCCTCCACCAACAACAACTTCCGCAACCTGGTCAGCCAGGTTGTATACTACGCGACGTCGCTCGAGTCGGGCAGCAGCGCCGAGAAGTTTTTACTGTGGCCCATGTTTGTGGCCGGCAGCGAGTGCGTCAACGAGCTGCAGCAGAACATCGTGCGCAACAAGTGCCGCGAGATCATGTCTCGCAGCGGCTACATGAACAATCTCGCCGCCATCGAAGTCCTCGAACGCCTCTGGGCTGGCGAATATTACGAACCCCCTATGACTCCCGGGAACAAGCTGGGCATGAGGCGCGGCTGCTTCAACTGGACTAAGTGTATCGGCGGTCCCGGGGTCGAAGTGGAATGGATCATGTTTTAATGCGGATGTTATACTCTCTCTCTCTCTCTCGTATATTCTATCAACAAAAGGAGGCAAGCTTTTTTGAACATGACGGATACGGAATATATGGGATCATAGAGGTTTACGACCTTTTACTTTTTTGGGCGCGCATTTTCACTTCTGAGATATATATTTTTAGCACCATTTTTTTCCATTTTTGATTTTCTTGTCTATTTTCTAGTTGTTATTGTTTATTATCTCCCTCCCCCTTTTTTTTAACCACGGATGTACATTATATTACACTTGCATGTTGATATCCCGGGGCTACGGATTTACGGCGGATACGAAACGATATTTGGATTGTATGGACCTTTTTTTTTTCATTTTCAACATTGGGATGGTCTATGTTTGTTTAGCAAGAAATGTCGGCTGGGCTCATGTTTAGAGTGAAGTTTTTGGGAAGGTGGACGAAAGGGGAGAAGGAGGAGGAAGAAGAAACTTGGGGTTTTCATGCGGTAGTGGTGATGGTGGTGGTGGCGATGATGATTGTAACTAGCTAGCATATGACTTGGTTGCGATACATGTCTAAGTAGAGACATGCATACAGATGAAGAGAGAGAGCATTTCCCAAGACACACATACACAGTTCGTCACTTGAGTCTCGTGATTTCGCGCACACGCCCGCCTTGTCTTTCTTTTTACCACACCCTCAGATAGGTTTGGGGGGCGCATGTGAGCAGCTGTCAGCACGCAAAGCAGATCTCCCGGTCTCCGTCGTCACGCCATAGCGCCTCATGCCCCCAAGTGCACGTACACACACACTGGGTTAGTATATTCAGTACTAGCATGTTATACCTACCTAACCTATATGCATTAACTATATCTTAGGCCTGTATGTATGTATGTAAACCAGATGTAGGCCACACACACCACCACCATAACTGCTGTTCATCGAGCGGACGGGAAGGAACCTTCCCACCCACCCCTAATCTTTCCTCCCGCACTCCATCGTTAGTAAATACCGTTCCGTAATGGAGGGCGTGAGGCACAGCCACATTTTTTCCCTTGCTAGCTAGCTACCATTCGGTAGATATCTACCTTACCTTGTCGTAGATGCTATGTAGAGGGAGCCTCTCGGAACGCTTGCATGGATACCCTCTCTCTCTATAGGGCTTGGACATCGAACCCATCAACACGATTTCGTAGCCTACTTTAGTTATCCATGGAAGTGTAACTCCACGTACGACCCTATGAGATATCTCTCTCAACTCAATATACGTCCCTAGTTTATATATATGCAAGGTATATGTTGTGAGAGTAATTACAAGATTTCGTATAGCTTTGCTTCTCGCTCACCCTCGTCTTCTCTGTTGTTCGTGGACCCCCACCCCCCGCGCGTTTCCTAAATAGGGAGGAAGAATGAACTGTTGTCAGCAGCGCAGCCCGCCACGAGATTCTGCGTACATTAGGCACTATTGAATCTTCAAAAGGGTCTGATACGTAATGAGAAGTAGATCATATCTAAAAGCCTCAACAAATCATCTCATACGTAACGGGGTATAGAAAACAAGGATAGGACAGATCGCTGAGTGGAGAGGAACAAGGAAACCAGTACCCAGGGTGTACCGCTGCTGACTCTAGCTGTATCTACGGAATACTTGACCTAATCTATCCAGCTATAGCTAGCTAGGCAGCTGTCAGTGATAGCCTAAGCCAAGAAGTCGTAGTACATGGTTTGCGGGCATAGGCCTACATAGTAAAGCAATGTGCATATCTTGTCATCTTGTTTTTACTTGCTCTTTTCTCTTTAGCTTCTTTCTCTTTCGCAAAGGTCCAGGCCGACGGGAGTAAAGTCTGGTTCGTCCATTCATCGTTCGTCCCACTACTCCTCGGCCGACTAACGCTATCACACCCAACATCTAGAATGATCGTCACTGCAGAGTCGAGGCGTACAGTACGTAGCTAGCTAGCGTTTCCTCACCTTCGCCGGTCACCTTTGCTCGGTATGTAAGACCCACTGAAGATGATAGGATCTACCGTAGCCTAGAGTGCTAGCTACGGTAGATACCCGGGTCGCGTCAGCAGACTTGCTTTCCCCTTGGTTCATCCATTGTTTAAGGACGTATGGTCGGCTTTTAACAACTTTAAAAAAGAGCTGCCGGCAAGTCGTCTGACCACCGTGAACAGCCTTCCGGACGAACCGAGGCTGCTGGTTGGCAGATTTATGCTCAGCTCGTGCTATTAAGATTCGACGTTACGAACCATAAGGAATGCCGCCCGATGTGGAGCCGGTAAATCTAGATGATTTCCGTAGTATGTAGATCGTATGGTGAGCATGGAGTCGCCCCCCCTTCACAGGGAAATGTCAACCGAGCCAGACTTGTTAGTAGCGCTCCATTGGTTCGATCAATTAAGCAACCAGTTCATGATCTCAGTACCCCAATCCAATTCATTGGTAGATACGGACTCCGGGATCCGAGATCTTCCGCCGGCGCGACATCGACACTAGAGCAGGAGAGCAGGGTCCCTAGCTAGAGCGGGTCCGAAGGTAGCGCTGGTTTTGGCGGCGGCGCGTAGAGATAGAGGTAGTATACAAACATATGAAGATGATGAGGTGGCGCCCTCCGAAATCCGATATTTTAGCTTCTTCTTCGCGGATTCTAGTAGGTCTTGGATCTACTAGCCAGGGGTCCATTTTGGGGGAATCGCTCCGTGATTCGAGACTCACATCGAGAACAAAAAGGCGCTCGGGGGTCATTCCTGATCTATAACTAATCTACGCCCCTATCATGCAACTCTGCGTGCAGTAGGCCGGCCATTGCATCAGAATCGCGGGCTTGGCCGCATCGGCGGGTTCCAGAAGTTCACCTGGCTGCCGATTGGCCTACCCGGAACCCTAGTATTATTCGGATCACGAAAGCCTACTGGGCAGGGAGTCGGCGATCGATCAGATTTTGGGGGTAAAAGTTTATAGACACTCGCCGATTGCCCTGAAGCAACTTTAGCGAGGTGACAGGAGTTGGGGACTCGTATCCGTAGAAGAGCTGGTACCCGCGATGCGGGTATGTAACATCAAGTGTAGTACTATAGTACTGTAGTACTTTTTTGTTGCGTTTGGAATCATCTCGGGACTTGAGGATTCGGTTACAATCGTTAATTGTTCCAGTTCCAGTTCCAGTTCCAATTCCAACTCCACGTAGGAATATGCAACATCGTCTTTCTCATGCACCGCCCCGCCTCGCTTGAGTAGACTGGAGATAGAAAAAGCCTCCGTGGACAACAGCCTGTCAAACCCACATATTTTCATGATAAATAGGTACTTGTATAAGACTTCCTCAACTTATACGGTAGATAATAGATGGCAGATGGTATATGGTATATGATAAATGGTCGATGTTAGAAGCACCTCACATCTATCCACAACGCCAAGCCCGGCCAGCATGGGTCGATGTAGCAAAAAAGCTGCCCCGCAAGGCTCGTATCAACTCATCCATGAAAAAGAAAAAAAAAAGAGTGGCAGGTAGTTTTACTTATTCTAAAGGCTGACGAATTTTCACCTTAGTATTGGAGAATCGCGATATGAAGCTCCTGTACGAAGTACGTACCTAAAAAAAGCATGTGGGGGAAGATGAAAGATGAAGGATGAAAGATCAAAGACAGTCAGCTTAGACGCTTGGACCATCCAAATTGCACGTGCATACTAGATAAGATAAGAATATAATAAGAAATTATATTCTTATCTTATCATTAAGTAGTATCAACGATGCATCAGTAAGAAATTTTGGAGCATTTCACAATATGTCGAATTATTCCTAGTGAAACAAGAAGCCGACGAACAAGCATTGAATATCAGCGCATATCAGCTATACCTCGTAAGCTGGCGAATCCTTTCATACGACGTATATCATATAATTGAATAAGTTAAAATATTATACCTGATAACGCTATGGGTCGTGATCTTCAGAAGCGCAAGAGGCGTTCTTCTCGCCCCGCCATCCGCCAGCCTTCATCGACGTTGAAATCGAAGCGCCTCTTGAATCCTCTAGGAAATGATTTGGTAGCCAAAAGCTGGTAAGGACTCTCTGTACCCCATATATATATCTACCCTCTAGTCGCATACCGAAGTGAATATTAAAAAAAAAAAGTACTTGAGCTAAGACATTATCGCGATACAGGAACAAGAAGGAGACCGCAACGCAGAACTACCGCCGTCTCGGTCTCGTGTCCCGCCTGAAAGCGCCGACCGGTGGCGTAGAACCCAATCTGACGTCCAAAAACCTGCAAGGACGAGCTACGAAACCCGTAGATCCCTTCGCCATTAGCCAACCCACTCGCGCTATTATCAGCGAGGTGCGCGTGGAGCGGGACGAGAACGGCAAGATTATACGCGTGCTCGACGGTTCAAAGCGGAAGGAAAACCCGCTGAATGATCCTCTTAACGATCTTGAATCAGAGGATGATGAGGACGAGGATGAGGAAGAAGAAGAAGAAGCCGAAGAGTGGGGTGGAATCGAGGACGCGAATGGAGACGATGATATGATCGTTGCGCAGCTCGAGGACGAAGCCTACAGGCCTATAGTTAAAAAGCTACGAACCCTAACTAAAAGGGAGACTGAATGGTTACAGAGCCTTGTGGACAAATATGGAGATGATACTAAGGCTATGTCGAGGGATCGCAAGTTGAATCCGATGCAGCAGACAGAGGCAGATATCACTAGGAGGATTAAAAAATGGAAGGGCACCTCGGCTTAAAAAAAAGGGGGGAAAGGGACTCTAACTCGGTGGATGGGGTTTTCTGCATTGCAAGGCGTTATGGATCTTAGTATTTTGAGTGGCTAAGAAGCTAGCCCTCGGTATATACTTAAAAAAGGCATATGTTACTTTGCCGTCTATCACATTGACCGAAATAACAGAATGAACCTGTGGAATAGCTATATAAAGCCAATATTTACCCTTCCCTGCAACATCTATTTGCACACTATGCTATATCGGAACACAAAACATAAACGCAACAATAATCGTAGGCACTATCCTGATATCCCATAGTACCACAATGAAATAGGTATCCGGAACACCGATCACCGTCGTGAAAGTTTTTATACTGGCCAGCCACCCTGTCCCAAACGACTCTTATCCTATGTACCTAGGTAGTTTGAACTTTCCCAAGGTCGTCCGTCCATCAGCTCCTAAACGCATCCTCGGAAACACGAAATCGTTACGCCAACATGAAACATTTAATGCAACGTCCGGTCGTAGTTTGCGCTGGGGAATTGCACAGGCCTGTCGTCGTCGTATTCCTCTGCCGCAGGTGGGGCGTATATGTGAGGCCTGGATGTTTGAGAACCGTAGGGGTCACCGTACAGATCGCTGTGCGCGGGCGATGTGCTGTGTGTTCGGTAGGTATCGAAGGGGTTCTCGAGAGGAGCCGGAGACGTGCTGTGTGGTCTGTACGCCGTATCGCTGTCAAATCGTCCACCGAATGAATCCGGGTCGTAAGGACCGTCATGATGATCATCCTCGTGATGGTCGTCCATCTGCACAGGCGCATATGCTTCCTCATCGTGCGGCGCCATCGAGAACGCTGCCTTGTCCGGGTCGATATTCTGGCTAGTCCCGATATTTTCGTAGCCGGGTAGACTCTCGGTACGTTGATAGTATCTTAGGGTGTATACGCTAACGGCTGTCGTTGCAGCCCAAGCTAACCTATGATAACAGTTAGTGGAAGATACTCAAGTAGACTATAATGCTATTTATTAGATAGATGCTTACGTTTCGAAGAAGGCTATTCCAACAATAGCTTTGCTAACGGAGCAACCTTGCCCGCACGAGTTGGCAGTATTATATGAGGCCTGACTGGCGAAAGCAGATAGCCAGAAGATAGCGAAGATGGTGTCGGTAACGACCATTACATGCGGCTGGGCAGCCTTTCGAGTTCGCTCAAATCGCGGCGCCAAAGCTAAATATATCCAAGCTGGGATAGATAAGAAACACTATTACCATAGATCCCGTAAGTAACCGTATGTTTAAATTTTGTCTTCCGCAAGGGATACAGTTAAAGGAGATCTCCTACGTACCAGACCAAATGGCCAGCCATTATTGCCGTTAATTATCGAACCGTCGGCTCGAAACAAGATGATCTCGAGGATGAATATAACTATAGCGAGGACGCCTTGGAAGATGTGGAGGCCAAGTTTGGTGTTGGGCACCTTATCCGGGTTGACGTCTAACTTCTCAAACAATGCCATGTTTAATGGCTACGCTGAGTTCTGCAGACCGAAAGTTAATATGTCGAATTTAGAGTAACTAGAAGGTTTACGTTGGAAAGTTTACCGAACATCTAGAAGATTTCGGATTGGAAAAAAAAAAGGTAGTGCGACAAGAAGCTTACAGGATGGAAACAGCCAAGCAGGCTACGTCGTATTTTAGGGGCGGCGGTTGCGGCTGATGACGATGTCGAAACGTAAAATGACAAGGGCTTGAAGAGGTTTCAACTTTGAACTCGAATCCGGGTAGTCGAGTTGATGTCGCGCCAACTAGTTAGCTTTGATTCAAATAACTATATTTAAATTTGTCAAACTTGTCAAATTTCTTTTCAAAAAAAAAGGAGGACTGGGGACAAAGTTAATTGTGGCCGGGTCAATAAAATATTATGATAATGTATGTATCTGAATGTTTTTGTGTTTATGCGGTATGCCTAGCAACATGTACTAATGGACTAGCTGACATCAAATGACCTTCGCGCTGATGAATAGCGATTGCGTGTAATGTAATAGTGAGGGTCCCGGGAGTGAAGGGGGGTATTCTATTTTAAGCTCAGCCACAGTCAACTGGAACTGCCACTGCGAAAAGCGCTGTTTTTCCTTATTAGCGAACGTAAACACAGCCTATGGGCGCCACCAAAGACTAAGCGCTGAGCCACTATCTTCACAAGGGCTCTATATTAGCGTTATTCTTACTGGACAACTGAAGAGACGGAATACAGAAAGCCGGCCAGTCTTGCAGATTTGCCGTTGTTAGTGTTCACGAACATATGTAGCCAATATTAGATGAACTGGTGACAAAGAGGTCAAACATTCCATTTATTTATCCCGCATCAACCGCAAGAAAATAGTGGGATTAGGAATATTCTCCGTGGGATATAAGAGGCATAACTTCCAAGTTGTCTCTAAGACAATTGGGTTGTCATGCTTAATTTGTCTCACTTTACTCGAGTATACCTATTTGTCGAGAATACTTGACTTTATACCCAACAATTTTATTATCATTTACATATAACTTCAATACGAAGTCTTTGGACTATTGACTTGTTTGATCGAACATTCTTCCATATTCCATATAGTTAACTATTAGATATCGGTGCCATAGTTTAAGGTGGCTTGCTTACATTAGGTACTTATTTACATCCTAGCTATGTATATCTCGTACTGCCACGGAATTCCCTACCTACTCTCTGTGCCACCTATGATGTCAGTTCTGCATCCTTCATTCGTGTTACTAAGATTATGTACGGATGTCCCTTTCAAAAGTTTTTTTACCATAGGAAGACCCTTCTCCCCCCCCCCCCCCCCGGTGAGCTTTGACCAAGCTTGCAACAACTGCTTACCTAATTATATTTGGCTGTAAAACCTACCTAGTAGTAAGCCTAAGTGATAATAATGTATACATCTTTAAATTACCCAACAGTTGCTGGCCAAGGATCAGACAGCTGGCGACAATTTTGACAGAGGTTTCCTATGGTAAAAACTTTTGAAAGGGACATCCGTACCCTTGTCATCTATGAGCTGCGGCCTCGAGAATGACGACCACGGACGCGACAACTTTAAATGACTTTTTCGTGCAATATTTATATTTCGACCATATCGTTTGTAATAATTTTATACACTTTTGTTTCTTTCAACAACCATGTAGGTACGTTAGGCTACGCCTTTAATTTTTTAAGTATATAGGTACCCTCCGATGTGCGCATTGCATCGTTTCCCGGGCAACTGGCCGAGTTTAGGTCTAAGTTCTTCCGCATTCAACATTAAGAGCTAAGTATCTATGTACCAACTACCTAACCTACCTAGGTACCTACCTACATACACTACCCTAAATCTATACTGCTTGTAACTTTTAAAGTACCTTAACCTATTAATGCATATTAACTTTTACAACTGTCTCTCTAATAAATAGTGTCTATTTAACTAAAAACTAAAAACTGCATTGTATACAGTTATCTTGTTAGCATCCATGTCAAACTGCCAAATGCTGTATCCCGTGTCACGGCATTCAAGTTCCCGATAAGGCGCACGCTAGTTGCCGATGCTCGGGGAAAGGCATTGAGCTATTTAGCGTCGTGACCGCCGCTAAGCCATCTAAATCATCTAAATCCCGAATATGGCATAACTCTTAAATCCGACTCGATCGATTTCGCCATTTTGATTCCCGTTTTAAGTAGAGGTAACTAATCAGAGTAAACATCTCACCGCCGTCTAGCTCTAACCTCGTTTTTCTTCATTGCTAATAAGTGCAGTTTATTCAATTCTTATTACAGCAAGTTCAACAACTTTTAAATACCTAATCGACACATACTCCGAATAAGTGGAAGTAGTATTCTAACCTATACGAAAGAGTGAGTTACTGTCATGGCGGCTGATGACATCTCCGCTCAGCCCGTTCCGCCAGTCTCGGCGAACGGAAACTCCCTCATCCAAAGCAACGAAAGGACGCCGCTATTAAGCAATCAGAATGAGAATGATGTCTCGGCCGAGGGGTCTCCATTGATCAACAACGACGAAGAGCAGATTATCATCGTCGAAGAAGTGAAAGGGTTCAAGCTGTGGCTCATCCTCTTCACCTGCTGGATAGGTGTATTTCTCGGCGCCATCGATTCTACCATCATTGCCACCCTCTCAGCACCCATCTCTAGCGAGTTCCAATCCTTAAGTCTATTATCATGGCTCGCAACTGCTTACTTTATCTCAAATGCTGCCTGTCAACCCATCTCCGGGAGACTAACAGATATCTTCGGGAGAGGCCCGGGCCTCGTCTTTAGCAATATCTTCTTTGCTGTCGGCAATCTCATTTGTGGTCTCGCACGGGACCAAAGCGTTATGATCTTTGGACGAGTTGTCGCTGGTATTGGAGGCGGCGGTCTCATGTCCATATCCACTTTTCTTGGTACTGATCTCGTCCCTCTACGGAACCGAGGAGTCATCCAGGGGATCGGTAATATATGCTATGGAGCTGGGGCCATGTTAGGTGGCGTCTTCGGTGGTCTAGTCAATGACAACTCTTCTTGGGGTTGGCGTCTGGCTTTCTTGGTCCAGGTTCCCCTAGTTCTAGTCTCTGCGTGTCTAGTTGCCTATCTTGTCCGCATACCACCCAAAGTATCAGAGAAGTCATACTTAGCTCGCATCGACTTCACAGGTGTATTATCACTCATTGTATTTCTGGTCCTATTGCTGCTTGGCTTGAATGCCGGTGGGAATTTGGTCCCATGGATCCATCCCCTACCGCTAACTACTTTGCCGCTTTCGCTAGTAGCGTTTATTGCTTTCATTCTCTGGGAATCCCGTGCTAAACAACCGATCATCCCAGTGCGCCTCCTTTTAGATCGGACAGTCTTCACGGCCTGTATTACGAACTTGCTGGGCATGATGATAAACATGATGGCTCTCTTTTACGTCCCTCTTTACATGCAATCTCGCGGAAGTTCTTCGACAGAGTCTGGGGTAGTAATCCTTTTTGCACCTATCGGAATATCTATCTGTTCCATTGGAAGCGGTCTCATTATGAGAAAAACCGGTCGATATGGTATGTATAAAAAAACGCTGTCCCCGGGGCTTCAAACCCCTGCTCCTCACATTTACTTCCAATTTATCTTATGTTTAGTGCTTTATTCGGCATATATACTAACTGTGTAGTAGTAAGTTCCTAGTTACTTCTAGATTTAGCACCATATGCATCATTCCCTTTTTAGAGGTGGCGAGGTATTTAAGATCTTGAGTTACCTATACAATTTTCGCCCCTATTCCAAATTGAGACATTTATAGTAAGCAACTTCTGCGGTTTCCATAGAAGGCTAATATTGCAATAGTTGGCCTTAGGTATCTTTGCTGTATTACTTCAGGTCGCCTCTGTCGTCATCCTCACAACTCTCAATGAGGACTCGCCAGGATGGCACCTAATGATTGCGTTCCTACTTCTTGGTTCCGGCCAGGGCGGTATGCTTACTATTACGCTTCTAGCCTGTTTAGCAGCCGTAGACCACACCCACCAAGCTGTAGTTACTTCTGCTACTTATGCATTCCGATCTGTCGGTGGAACGGTCGGCGTTACGATCGCATCGACCATCTATCAAAACGTACTTAAAACTGAGCTATGGGGGCGATTTGGCGACCTTCCTGGGGCAGCGGAAGAGATTCATAGGATCAGAGATGATTTAGACGAGTTGAAGCACCTCCCCGACGGCTGGTATGACGGTGTCATAGCGTCATTTATGGAAGCCTTTAGGAGTGTGTGGCTTACGATGTTAGGGCTGGTGCTTCTGGAACTTGTTTGCATTTCCTTGATGAAGCAGCACAAGCTACATTCAACTTTATCTCGCAGTGAGAGGGAATAGATGCCCGCGCATGGACAACTACTCTTATTAGGAACATCATATACGGGAAGTGTGCGATAACGACCAGTCTGGGAGTCTTTGATTATGCATAGCGAGAGTTAAAAATGTTCTTTGTGGAAGAATAACTAAAAGCTAATAATAGAAATACCATAAAGGTTCATCCCAAGATGACCTTATGTTCGTTACACTATAGCATCCATCCATAAATACTAGTAGACTCTTCCGCCTTAACCCCCTATATTGTATAACAGTAAGCTTTTGATCATTGATGCCATTATGTTTATCTTACCTTTCTTGCCGCAACCCCTTTTCATCACTCATTCTCATAATTCTTCCATCGTACACAAAATCATCTTCTGCTAGCAAACTAGAGCTTAGCTTTCTTATATAGCATCGCCTTCTTCTTAGGTCATATCGTAACTACATAGGTAGGTTCGATAGAAACGTACAGAGCACGGCGAAGTATGCATTAAGACTGACGAGCATAGGCACTGTACAGGGCTCAAAGGCCAATATGACAAGAGCGAAAACGGCAGAGGAAACGGTGACAACGGTCAAGTACTCCGCGCGCGACCAATTCGTCTCTAAAAATAGGAGAGCGATGGGTAATAGCGAGAGTGACAGACTGCCAATTGCAAGAAAGACTTTGAGCAATAGCCGAAAGGGCCGTAAGCTATAGGTCATGTGTGGGCCGTCAGGAGGGATGGAGGATGGAAGAGAAGATCGGCTAAAAACTCGACAGAGGTGCTTCAGTGGTTTCTTTAGAGAGATGTTAGTCTGAAAAGCGAATGAAAATAAAGAGACCAATGGAAGGGGAGTGGGAAAGGGGGGGGGGGGGGGGGGGTTGATAAATCCAACTTGCCATGAACCAGCGATCGTTCGCATAGTACAGTAAAGATTCGAACCGCCGGAAAAACGCATCTGGCTCGGTACTAACAAAATCGTCTATGTAGCGCATAAATGCGCACGCCTGATCGTTAAGTCCCTGATCGCGTCGTAGCATTGCAAAGTGCGCTTCGTGTGCGCTCCGAGATACGCGCGGAAGTCTCCTAATATCGCGCTGCAGGAGAAGAAGCTGTACTGAGAAGACATCTAGCATTAGCCCGTGCGCTTTCACCTTCTATTCTGGGACTTACAGTATTCTTTGAGTAGAATCCTAGCGGCCGTGATCATATTCTCCCTCTGCGTCGCACGGTCGACCTCATCCAAGTTTGATCCTGGGCATTGTAACGGCAGATGTCCGACCCCTTGACGGCAGCGGGTGATGAATTTCTCGCGGTCGAAAGGAAGCGACCATAGGGGCTCTCCCCCCTCTTTCGCATCCTCGCAGTTCATCTTGTCTAGTTCGTTCTCGATGACGGAGAGCTTTAGTTCGTAAGACGTGAGTAGGTAGTGCGTCAGGGGGTCGAAGCCCCTATGGCTGTTGTGATTGCCAAAATACACCTGCTGCGACGCTATATTGGGCCAGCCACGAGGCGAGTAGTTGACTTGATTCTGTCATCAGGGGGATTTACCGTAGGGGATTTCATCTGGTAATTCAACTTACCGACATCTTCGTCTGTATAGAAGTTATCCTCCTCTAGGCCCGCTGCTTTCTTGGCTAAGGCATAGGCATTAATTAAAGAAGCATGTTGTTACCGTGGGATTATACATATTAACATACCAGTTGAAATCCTTTCGTATATGTTAGGATGCAATTGCGGCTTATAAGGGGTAGTTGGGGTTTGGCGAGCAATGTTGTTGTGTAACTGCATGTTGTTTAGCGGAAGCACCGGGATAGCACCGGATGAGTTCGACATGATGAGTAAAATTACTTTTATACGCTGCTCTGTATTACACGTTTATGCTAGTATTGCGGTTCGTTCTCTGGTATTTATATGCGGGGCATTAAGTTCACCGCCTGGCCCTGCCGGTCATATCGTCACATCGATCGTCGATACGAACACTAGTAAGAGCATTCACAGCTTTCTAATATGCTTGAATACCCAACTATAGCCCCCAAAGTGGCCGGAAAATTGGCCAGTATCGTGAGGAGGGTGTAGTGCGATTTGACCTTAAGAGAAGATGCTTCAACGCCGTGCGTGTAAAGCTCGAGTCGCGACGGGGCGGTGAAGATGGGGGCAGATGTCGGTGGAAGCCTCGTCAATATACTACGCTAAATCCTCCACTTGAAGGTGCTTACTTCTTAAGACAAAAGCGGTATCCTGAGGACGAACCAATGAAATATGGCGCGCAAACGAAGGAGTGCAGCATTTCAAAATGTTTGAGCTAACATCTACTCTTCTTGGCAAATCATCATTGATGACAGTCTAGTGTAGATTATAATACCTACCAAGGCAACCTCTTACACGCGACAATTCAATCATGTGAACCAGGCTTCTGGTATGAGGGTAACGCAGAAGCCACCTGGCGTAGAACCTATATGACTTCATCACCGCTTCTAGCGTTAGGCATCAAAGCCAAGCGTCTTATCAACGTATGTTCTTATGAATACGGCTGAGAGCCTCGATCACCAACATCGTGGCTATGGATATGACGGACAGGAGGTCAGGAGGCTGAGTTTTAACCATCGAAGTACCCACCTACCTACCTGTATGTGGATACCGTATTGCTCGAGGCTCTCTCGAGATCTGTTTGATATAGAAGCTGCCACTAATAGAGAGCAAAATAGGCTCTTTCCCCTAAAGCCGACAGTTTAACTATAATAGGCCTGCCCCTATATGATAAGTATTAGTTAGTTTCGTCTTCGGCGTAAGAAGAAGTTTGTTTACCAGTTATGCTATAGATCAACTCGATGGCTGCTGAGCGACGACATATTACAGAAGAATCTACTCCATCATGTTTGAATTACCGATAATGAAGTATATTCAACGAGCATGAATAAGATTAGTAAAGAGTAGGCGTGACATGTCTCCTACTGATGGCCCCGAGAGGAGTGTAAACTACCAGTGTGACACTTCGGCCCAAACGGGAATTTTCAATGTGGCTTCAAAAGATACCGAAGTGTCTCAGATCTCAAGCCATTAGGTATGTTGGGATACACAATAGAGGAGTTATTGACCTTAATGTACGGGAGAAATAAATGCGATCAAGAATATGATGCCAATGAAATCTAAGAGAGTCAGAGAATGGAAATTCCTTTATTACTATATCTTGTTCGTATTAACCCCGTCCAATCATGAAACGGCCGATGGAACTCCGACGATGTCACCAACTATAGATCATGAGGGAGGAAAGGTGGATAATATTGAATGCATGTCACATGGACATCTCGTTTGCAGTGAGACATGATACACAATGGTTGAACATCAAAAACTACTCACCCCCACCTTCCTTCCGAGTATCTAAATAGGAATAAGACCTAATTACCTCCCACTCCCACTTTGTCATTGTTTTCTTTCGACCTGATTACCATTCTTCAAAGACACCATGGCTAGACTAGAATGCACCCAGTCCATCTTTCATCAAGTCTCGCCCTCTCCTAGCCAGTCTCAATATGATGAAAGATAGCCCATGAGAGTTATAAAAGTAGTAAGACCAAAGATCATTATTAAACCAGCTTCGAGATATACTGACTAACCCTTCCGCTTACACAGCGAATATTGATTTGGGGGTGTAAGAGGGGTTCTGGCGAAGAGATTCATATAAAGCTCTTAGCCTTCCCTTCGAGATTGGTTAGACTATATGCATCTAGCTGGATGAGGAATGTTGAAAAATGATTGGAGGCCATGCGCGTGGCGCCAACACTCTGAAGAGGGACGTTTGATTGGCAAACGTATGTGCAGCGCAGGTGACAGTTTAGGAGCTGTCAGTTCGGGTATATCGCCAGATTTTAGCCAAGTCCGGGTTTCGGATGAAGGGTTCTCTGCACCCCGCATTTACATTTGAATTATCGTGGCAGCTTCAGGCCCCCGTTCTTTTCGGCAAGGTGTTCATTCTAAGTCCACCCGAATCGGCCCGTACCGATCAGCTATTGTCAAATTCCGACGACCACAGCTTCCGTTTCTAAATTATTGATCTCTGATTGGTCTCTAACTGGACTTCAACATCTTCGTTGAGAGATGTGAATATAAGAGGTAGAAAAGGAGAATGGATGCAATCTAAAAGCAGTTGTCGAGGTTTAAAAGACATCAACTTGGCCACCTACAGCAAACCTACAGCTACATTAGGTATGCTACCTAAATCAATATTAGGTAATCATGTGGCACACTGATTCGATAAGGGGACATCGATAAGGGGCATCGCGGAGATATTGTTAGGAGATCGAACCGCCGTCGGAGATTGAATGTCTTATCAACCAAACGGGACATTTTTTAATAAACCAGGAGGTTGGTTTGCCACTCGTGACGGACTGATGGACGGCCTAATGAACGGCCTGCATCGCAATATGAAACGGACAGAGAAAAAAGAAAAAGAAAAAAAAAGAGGAGGGGGAAAAGCCTGAGCTTATGGCTTATCGCAGGGCTGTGCGATGACAAGATTAACGAGCCGACGGAGAATTTCACTTTCATAATCTCATTTCTTACGAGACAACAGAATCTGAAAATGAGACTATTCAGATCCACACACTACACTAGACGTCATATGCTGTACACTACAGATATCAGATGTTGACACGTACTGAAAGACACATTCTACCTACCCAGGTAGCCAGGTTACCTGATATGACAGATTGACGCTGGGATGATATTCCTGGCAGTGTCCCTTGCCCTTGTTCACTCAGTGGGTCAAATATTAAAGCAACGCGCTGTCACTACACGTACTGCCGACCTCTTCCGATACTAGACCAATTCGCATCGACAGGGACAAGGACACCAGAAATTCCACTCGGCACTCCCGATTCTATTCTCATCAAGCTAGAATACAAGAATAGCACTAATAGCACTAGCTACATGCGGTCTATTGACTAGGTATTCTTCCGTATTCATTCTGAGGGTTTACTTCCACTGGCGCGGAAATGCAGAGCGCATGAGTACCTCAACCATAATTTGCCTAGCCCTATGATAGTAGCATCCTTTTTTTTGGTCTTAAGAGCCTCACCACGTCAAGCGTGCACGGTCTATCAACCATCTCCACCAATGCATCCTTGTATCCATGTTATCTCGGATGGCCTTTGCTTTAGGACGATAGGAGTCTCTTGGACAATATGCAACTGTGTACTCTTTTAAAACCCTAGGGTTTACTTTCTCGACTATGAAAATAGTTCCGCATCCTTATTACCAATAAATATGCGTAGAAACCTATTGCTCTTCATCCTTTCCGGAATTTACAATAGTATCCAGTCAAGACTACTGAGCAAAGAGTCCCTGATAAGAGGTAATGCCCCTATCTTATTGCCGTAGTCTCTGATTACTCAATGTTCTACGTCAATTACTTACACTACCCGTTAGACTAGCATTCGTTCTGAAGCCCAACCAAGTACAATTCTCAGAATCCTTCTTATGAGTCCAAGTCACCAAGTTGAGATCGCCGATCGACATTCTTTCTATGCACAACACCATGTGTGGACTTTTCAATTGGTCGCGGAAGGACAGAAAAGATAGTCATAGACCGAAACAAGGACGCGGTGGTTCGAGGGGAACGTATCTCTATACCACGGAACAGACACATTCCCCTCTTTCCAATCCCCATCCCCTGTTAACCGAAAACTCACGAAGGAGGGGTTAAAGGACTACGAAGAAATGTCAACGACCGGACTTTGGGACTAAGACTTAACTATGGAATCTTATACTAAGAGTCAGGCGATGTATATACTTGCCTTACTGGAACAGGGAGATACCGCTCCTACGTACCTACCCTATAGAAAAACCACCAAGACTCCATCTTGGCACTATTAAAATCGAAATGTACCCAAGTTACATAGATAGACTAGAACCACCCAATCAATAAGTGTTATCAATGTTCGCGTAATAAAGATATGGCATTAATTTATGTAAAGAGATGTAAACCAATCGTTAAAAAGTAGTGAAAAGGAGGCATGTTGTATCATCGCTGTTATGCACGTGAAATTGTATACAATAGTAACATTCAACCAATCCTCCATTATAACAGGAACAAATTGAGTGAGTCTAGCAAAATAAATCTTAAGTGAGGTACCTAACCTAGACAGGGTACAGTCTTAGGAGAAATTGACGTTCTTGGGGAAAATGAAAAATTGGCATTCTTGCATTTCACATATTAGGTATGCTTTCCTTGGGCCACCACTTGAGCTCCGCCATCAAGCGACTCCGAAACTCATTTAATTGTTTTTTAAACTATAGTAGAGAGTGCGATAAGTACTAAGTAATAACATAGTTACATAATTCTAGGCACAACTGGAGCGGGATTATGTTACCGACCTGACCATAGCTAATCATGTATCTCACCTTCGCAATAGACACACCGTATCTACGGGAAGAGAGCTCCGGGTAGGGAAGAATGCTCTCGGACGGGAACTCCACTTGCCGAACCAGTGTAAAGGATAAATTAGAATAGGTGAGTTAAAATAGCATCCGCCACTACTTGTTCTAGTACATTGGACATGGCGGGGGTGTAGATATGTAACACGCAAGTAAGTATACGGTACCTCACCATAGTCGGGCGACAGTCCAACTCTGCTAACCCAAGTCCCAGCCCCAACAATTACTTGAAAATTCTTTATTCTGCTACGTCAAAAGATTTCTTGCTCCACATATGCGGCCTGAAATTGGCCGTCAGATAGGCGTACACGTATTATGCGGTTACTGCCACTACCTGGAGCATGCTGGCCAGCGCTAGAACATGCAGAAGCAATACCCATGTTCAGTAATATAGTAAGATTATGTCGATTAGCCCTCACCTACTTCCACAATAAGGAATTGGGTTGATGAGCGCTGAATATTTGGATGATGGACTGACAGCCTCGTCTGTGCGCACTGCAGGACCCCCGTCGATGTAGAAAAAGGTTGAGGGTTACCTATTTACCTGTTAAATGATGTAGGGTAGCCTTGAAATACCTAGGTACCTACTTAGCTTAGCCGTCCTATTTTACATTTACGTGCCTTAATTTACATTCCTTACTTGGCCAGGTGCATATGCCAACCTGCACATCCTAACTTTTCTCAGGTAGAAAACTTTTCCGTAGTGTATAATACTCACTGTGCTAGTACTTAGCTCTCTAGCGTAGCGCTTCAGAGAACATTTCACTAAACCCTAGGATACGGCAAGATATTTTGACGAGGCTGGCTACCTCTTATCGACAAGATGAGGCCTTTGGCGGATTCGGACCTAGCATTAAGGAGTAAATTATGGATATATTAGCTGGGTAATATGATTATATGTGGATAGTGTACCAAATACCCGGATAGAATGAGGGTTAATCAAGGCTTGGAATAAGTAAATAAGCCTGACACGTTATGCCTCGAGGCTGCTACGGTAACGCGTTGAGGTGGTGGTGAGCTCAAAGAAGTTAGTACTACTTCTATAAATATAAAAGCGAGACACGTGTACTCTAGCTAATTTCAAGAACAGAAGTCTTGGGTACATGGAAGAATGTAGAGAACATTCACATCATGCACGACCTGGTGTCTCCTACCAATCATGTCTAAGGGGAGCGGTACACCTTCACGCGTTGCGCTTGTTAGGCCTATGTTATCTAAGCGGAAAGCCGAACCAGTAAAAACCCCCGAATTTCAACGTCATGTCATCGACTCTATCATTTTCAAGGAATTCCGCTTTCCTTGTAGGGTATTTTACATCCGACATTTAATAGGAATAGCTGAGTTTCTTGGATTACGCAATAAAAGCTAGGTACACGGATTGAGTAAATTTTGGTGAAATTGGATCAATATCTATATGTAAGGTAAGGGGAAGTCCATGTGTAATATGTGATTGGCCCGGATTACTCACTTGATAGAAAGCAGTCCTACCTCCCAAACACGAAATCGTTACATGCAGTTAACAGATAGTCTATATAGGTCTTTATCTGGAATGTTCTACTTAACTCAGTATCTATCTTACTTGATGGCTGGTTTATATAACATTAAAGTTACTTTTAACAGGAATATATACCCTGTACTATATATATATGCCTAAGGTTTACCAAGATATTGTGTCAAATGCGAGTAGAGATTTCTTATTCGGAGCACATTTCTTATTGTCTTATGCAATTTTTCCCTGCCTTACAAGAAATAATAAGAAATAAGTTAAAAGAAATGAACGACGAAGAAGGTAGGGTCTTATTAGGGTATAAATAACTTGAGGGTTGACTTAGAGGTAGATTCAGTAGTCGATCTACTGGGAATGAGCATATAAGATGCGTGTAGCGCCTTCATAAAAGGGAGGTATCTATTGTTCAATCTATCGTGATAAATACCTACCTATGGTGCGATGTAAACTTTCGGCTTTGTGTTACCCAGGGGTTAACCTCTAATTAAGATCTAATGCGTCATATATGTATCACGAAGGAACGTAGGCAGTGATATAGTAGGGGGAGCGTACTGTAAAATTCAACAATCAACCTTCTTTAAAAGAGCGTCTCGTTTAGCAAGCACCCGCCTCAACACCGTTCAAAAAGGGGTTAAGTCTTTCCCTGCTCAAGGTTCGATAGGAATGTGACAAGTACCGCCATATATGCGCTCAAGCCGATGAGGATGGTGTCCCAATTGCAGTTCAAACAGGCCAAGGCAGCTACAAATGCAAAGTTGAAAGCGACCACGACTATAAAGGACTCGGCCCTAGATAGGTTCACGAGGAGAAGTATAGCAACTGGGGAAAGCAGTAGTACTCCGCTCATGAATACTACTACGACCTTGAGGAGAAAGACTAAGATCCAGTTGTCAATTTCGAGGTTAGAGTTTCCGCGCGTTCGCGCAAGGATCTTCTTGATAAACTTGGAAAGGTTAATTAAATATTCGATTTAGGTACAGTGTATAGAAGATGAGTACTCACTCTTTTGATGGGCGTGTCCCCGTATATTAATGTTTCAAAGTGCTGATGCACGCGGTTGGTAACTGTCGTAACGAAGTCGTCATTCAAATATAGGAACTGGTATGCTGGTGCATCGAGTGCATGACGGTTCCTCACCTCGTCATAGAATGCCCTGTGTTCTCTTCTAGAGATACGTGGCAGTTTCTCCATTTCTTTACCAAGTAGGAGTAACTCATCTTCAAGCCACTATTTGTTATTATTTTTACTTAGGACTAGCTCGCGGGTATAGTACTAACCGTAATTCTTCAATCTCGGCATTGCGGATTCTAGGATTAGATCTTTGTTTTCCCATATGCTATTATCGTTCGTATTCTTCTGCTCCTCCTTTACTAATTTCGATGTTGTCGGGTTTGTTTGGAGAAAGGCAGGCTGATATTGAGCCTGAGATAGAGTGTGGCCGGAGAGCAACGTTTCCGGAACAAATGGAAATGAATTTAATCTGGAGGCATTGCTTTCCTTGTCTTTTTCATCGAGCTCTTCTAGTTTCTTCTCGAGGTACGCGAGCTTCGTTTCTTGGTCTAGGAGGACCCGATGCAGAAGGTAGGAGAAGCGTCGATGAATACTGAAATTGGGATAGTATAACTGAATAGCGGCAATAGAAGGCCAACCTTTAGGCGCTCCGTTCACTATCTTGTAGATTAGCTAAAATATTGGCCATCCAATGTGTATACCTAAATTACTCACTAATGTCAGAGTCTCCACGAAAGTTTCCATACCCAGTGTCATCGTTCCCGGTTCCTAGAAGAAGTATTAGCTGCGGATAGGATGTTAAGGGATGCTTAAGTCGCACCAGGCTCTGTAGGATCTTCATCAGCACCGCTGCTACCGGGGATCCTATTCATTGCATGGCCCTCTTCTAAGCGAGCCGGCGTAGTCATAATGAAGAATTGTGAAGGAAAGGGGCATTGGATTTGTCAATAGGAACATGATACCTAGTGGGTGCGGGGCCCTAATAAGTATCCGTAATATATGCATCGTATCTTTCCCGACAAGAGGGAAAAGGACAAGGCTTCATCCTATCGCTTGAGGATTAGGTGAAGTAGCTGTTGCGGCTCTGCGAACTCGGCAGATTGAGAGTTAGAGAGATTGACCCGACAAATGGGAGCGCCGTGATTCGTTAGAATAGACTCACATCCGTGACAGACATATTGCCGCGCCCTAGTCTCTATTGGTTAACTGCTATTTGTACGATGGCTTCCCCCCGCAGCAGATAATGCACAGTAATACTGTCTAAATATTTGATGGAACCAACATCCGCTCACTTCGTTACATTAGCCTTAAGCACTTATAGCTCTCACATGAAAGAAATCTACTAGTATATATCTCTACACTTAACATATCTATAGAATTTAGAGGCCAGAACTACTCGATTACAGGTAGGTACCTTTAGTTGAATCCAAGTCTATAGCTTAAGGAGAAAACGAAGAGCTGCTTGTAAGAATACTTGCGGTCCCGTATAGTGTGGAATTTCAATTACTCGCTACAAGATAGCTATTCTTCTAATACTTGATTCACATCGCGGTAGAATCAATATGTTGATCCTTGTATTAACTATATTGACTCGGATACCTGCTTGTTTTGTATCTCCTTAATGCTAATAAGAGAAAGTTGACGGCTTTCGCCGATAAAACTAGGTACTTGTTTCCAGGTAGTTTTAATCTTGATCATCTTAACGTCTACATTATTCCCTCTCGAACTTGTTTAATAATAACAATGTAGTAGACACAAGGTCATTGAGAAATCGATGAAACGTTGTATGGTCTGGCTAAGAGCAGAGGGGTAAGTTTTACACATGCTTTATATACTTAGAATAGGGGATAATTACCTACTCTCGGGGGTTTAGGCTTGTATTTTCGTACCGAGCCATTCTTAGTCCCTAGCAGGGATAGCGTGCTATCACGATTTAAAGACCTACACGGTCGCGCGAACTTTCTTTTGACGATTGTTATTATATTCATTCATGGTTTGTAGGCATAAATTCCTCGAAATGCGAATTCATTCTTATAAATATCATAGACACGTTACTAACCAAGGTATAAGGGCTAGATGGAACTAGGGAAACGTGTAAGTACTTAACAGCAACGATTGCATTATAACTTAAAGGTTAGGGAAAAAAGGGGGCTGATCGTAATATCAAGTAGAATCCATAGGTATAAAAGGTAGATTACCTATTACACTCTTACCTTAGGTACTCTCCTCTGAGTCTTGTCATTTTTCTGGGTAGCTAATCATTTTACAGGCACCTTCTCACTTGGGCTTCCGGTAACAACAATACACGCCACCGTGGCTTTTTACTTTTGATATCTCCAAAAATTTAACTACCTACTTCTTACGAAACGAATATGAATATTTTATCAAAATACTGTTAGTTTGGTAACTCCTACTTACTGGTCCCTATTGGCACTATAGTTTGTGTTGGCTGTAAAGGGGCACCGATTTCACATCAAATACCCCTCTTCTCTACCATTTCTTACTAACTTGGTTATAGCCGGTCCCGCTCTTTCGTAAGAGGCGCGACAAGCGCCTATAATACTTCACGATAATGATCTCAACATCTTATTCGTTGGTTACGAATCTGCAAGACCCTATGGCGTGCAGCAACAGCATCCCGATATGTGGATATTATCGGAAGTAACTACGTACAGAAGACGATATCTTATTCGATATCTGATATCTGTATTCCGTATTTCGGACCTGCTTCTTCGGATCCGTTAGGGCTGAAGTTTAATGGGTACTAACTACCAAAAAAGGGACGAACTTTCCTCGGGAAGATCCGTCAAATAGTGGAGATATCCGCTAATCTACCCCAGATTCGATCCTGGGATTGAAAGTGATAGGGCACGGACCACATACCTAATTCATACCTCCTTATACAAAGTTGTAAGCTGCATTCCTTTTTCCTACCCTTAAGTAAAGTAAAAAATTGAATAAAATAAAGCGAAACTAACAAAACTTAAAGGGTTTATAAGATAAAAAGCTACATTCATTTAAAATCGATGTTCAAGTTCATCTTGTTGGCTTCAAAAGATAGGATACAATCTCAAAATCGAAAATTCACGTACCCCACCAATCGGGTATGAATCAATAAGATAATTTAATCAAGCTTAACAACGGTCGATCGAATTGGAAGAAACTATTTCTGAGAAATTTCGATATAAACACATGAATGAATGTTACAATATGGACTTTAATCGATGTTTCTTATGCGCTCAAACTTGATTTAGAACGTTAAGTTCAATCGGGGGGTGCTAGGAATAGGGACGGGTTGCTACAAATAGCGACGATGAGGGGCCCTTATCTACCTGGATTACATCTACTATTCAACCCGATGTTACGCCTGGAAGGACCTCTACAAACATCAATATTCGCCTATTTTTTTTCTTTTGGCAGGGCATCTGCGAAGAAATGGGTTAATACCATATTTCTCCAATCCGACGTGGGAATGGCATTAGGTCTATGAATAAGAAAAGATGAAAGAGATCCAACGAGTCCAACTTTAGGCCAGGGTTACCAGGGTAACCTCTGGCGCTGAGTGTACCAGCCGCCCGGAATTTTGGTGCCAGAAGTCGATTTCTTCAACGCAAAAACCTGGTTGTTTTTGCCTCCCGTACAACATTTCGAAAAGTACCTATACATTTGACGATTTATCGAAACCTATACTCTTCAGGGCTAGTTACCTACTTTGTGGGATGCAGGAATAAATATGAAATTCTTGGTAGCGATTGGATTTAGCGTATTCTGGTGTACAGCAAGGTTGTATTGGACCCAATGCATCAGCATACTGCCCAGCTACAAACCCACTGAGCTCTCAGTTACCTACAATTATCTTCGATACATTTCCATCGCGTTGTACTCTATACTCCGCCCCGTTCTAGTAAGGACTATCATCCCTATCCTTAAATTAGTTGTTGAGTGTATAGGCAACTAGTAATTTCCCACTGCAAATATCGTTAGCTAAGTTCACAGCCATACCTGGAAAAACTCTTTCCTTGGACAGAAAACCACCCGCGTCTCCCCCTGTTCCGCACGACGCTTCCCGGTTACCCATGCTCGGAATGTGTCAAGGACGCGTTCAGATATCCCAAACAATAAATAGGAGTACACGGCCACTATTTAATTCATGATGTCCTCCTAACCATCATAGCTCCAGACATATATCCTCAGCACCTCATCGCTACTTACAGCAGGGCACTTAGTATCGACAATTGTCCAATAATCCTCAGTTACATCAGTCTCAAAAGGCAAGCACCCTATTTTGTCTATATAACTTCATGCTATAATGCAGTCTAAGCAATATATTAATTCCAGTTTGCTTTAGAGATCCAGAGATCCGCGCAAGTAGTACCTGATCATCTCTCTCCAGCATCCAACACCTTCGACATCTTCGGTCGATATACCAACTCCTAAACGGACATACACAATTTAAGATCCTTTTACCATCCAGACTCATAATGCCTTCGGCTGGAGCAGACGGAAACTCTAGAAGGGGTGGGGAGACGATCTATGTGGGACATCAGGAAGTATGCGAACAGAATCCGGAAGCCAAACCCGCCGTTGGTCGTAATATCTTGAGGGATATATTGGGAAAGCTGATGGGAGCGAAAGGCGAGAAGCACGTAGGGGGTGAACACGATTTGGATCCGAAGCCAACTAAATGAAGGGAAATCGGTTGACTTCTCGCAATGTACAAAGCTTTACAGTATTGTTATATCGAAAGAGGTGCAAGACGATCGGTATGCCCTCACACAATTTACCTTTCGCATTCCAAATAGACCATTGAATCCGGGAATACAAGTCTATGTCATACAGTTGTAAACAAGCAGCAATGTCCTCGTAATGTAAATATCGCTTGATCGAAAGATGCAGTGCCTGCCCAGGTCAAATATTTGAGTTCTTATAGATATAATTCTCGAACCTAGCGATTGATTGGCTTCAACCGCTAAACTCCAAGCACTCTTGTCGCCCTCATGACTATGGTAGTTTCGTATTGACAGTATTTTACCGCCCCTATATGATACCTGGGTCTCGAAAGACTAAATCGACTATGGCAAGCTGAAGTGTTACTTCGCATTAGCAACGTAAGAAAACTCAAGTACCTAAAACGGCGTCTACGGGAGGCATAGCTCAGAGGGGGTATATTGGATCAGATAGATCGGATTAGTTATAGATGGTAATAGAAATTAATATCGTCTAGTGTATATCCAGAACTCTTTCGCGTGTCTTGATGTTTTAGAATCTATAACTATGCTACGATTGCTGGGTGTTTAGGAAAATTTTAGGTATTGCTACACTACCCCTTTTCTCTACAGCATCTATACGCTGCCTAATGCGACCCGCGGTGGTTTGCCAACCCTAATTTCACGCACATTCTCGCTCCAGTAGATTCCAAGAGATAAATCTAGTATAAATGTACGTCAATAAATAATTTATGCTTAACTTCTATTACTACCTATAGTCTTTAGGACTGGGGAGATTAGAAAATTTTAGTCTACGTCTTATCCCTTGTGTGCGTCGGAAGACTCACCCGGAAAGTACACGATCATCCCGCCGTCTTCTTTTCCTCGTCATGATACCCACATCTTACGCCCGAGTTCTATACGTAGAAAGTTCCAGATGCAGGAACCGCCACGTTGTGGTTGTTTCCCAGTGACTAAGAACTAGTCTAATTAAGATTAAGTATGACACCTTTGCATGAATTTCATCTTTAGGTGTGATAGGGTTTGTAGGTATCGTATCATATTTTAGACCCCAAACTGTCGGTCCATGTGCATGCAGGCAAGTAAGCTGCCCAATGCAACAGTCCAGACACGAGACATTGGACCAAAGTAATGATTAATACGCACGCGATAGTTTCATGTTCCGTAATATGCATCTTAATCAAAACTACCTACCTAATTTCTTGCTCCTGTATTTATGATCTGCATTGACAGCTAGTCACTAATCAACAGGAGGGGCGGTGTGATCCAGTTGGGATGATATATATGCAGTGTGAGTGATAACCGGCAGATGTTAGCTTCTGGGATCGTGTAACGCTACGTCAATAGACCCAGGTTTTATTCATGCCCAGAACCAAAAGGTGAGAAATCGGTGGCTGGTATGTACACAGTGTTGAGGAACTACTTAATATGTACGCTGTAACTATATACAACTTGAACCATCTATGTACTTATACGTATATAGACTAGAAACTATGTTGATCGTAAAGGTTAATAAGTCTCCTTTGAAAATTTGATAGCCAAATGTTAACAAATGCTTGTTGTATGACGCAGCGCGACATACTCTCCGCATGAGGTAAACAATACGAACATATTTAATGAACAGATCATATGCATAATTCGTTCAGGCTCCTTACCATAGCGGTAAATATTTCAAAATTGACTGACAAGACTAGCTAGTTTCCGCTGCTAGAAGTATACGAACATAGAATACTATGGGTTGAGAAACTTCTTTAAAGCCGAGTTTTATTTATTGGCGCTGTCTATCGAGTCTCCGGCCTTGAAATTCAGGCCCTGAAGAAAGTAACATGATTGAAATGTAATGTACACCAGCTTGTAACGCCCTTGAGGGGGGTCATGATGTATAGAGTACCTCTCTCATAAGTCACCTTGGTTTCATGGTACGGCTTAAGTTATCCAATCATGTTTAGGTATTGCCCATTGAAGGGGGGCTTCACGCGTATAACAAGTTAGATACATATCTTCGCGGCAACTTGACCACTCATAGCGAAGCTGTCGGCTCCGTTCCTAACCTCATATGACCCCCTATCAATGTTATATTTTATTTAAAACATTTCTCCTTTCGAGAACAATTAAGGTTGCCTATCATGTCACAGAGTGATATAACTAAGAGGAATTATAATTTAAAATTATTCACATGTGTTTCTTTTCCGTTAGGTAGGTGAAGAAAACAACTAATAATATACGTATTATCAAACGCCCGACGCAGCTTGCATCCAACACATTTTCCATCTTCCACATAAAATAAGCCCTAACGTTGGCAAGGATTCTTATCTCGTAGGGTTGAAAAAAAAATCTATAAATAGAATATTAGCGAAATTGAGAACGAGGCTGCCGTCGGCCATCGTGAGAACCGTACGTGACTAAAACGGCTGAGTAGGCCGAGAAGCCGATAAGCATTTTGTCAAGCTTCTTGCCTAGGAGAACTATGGCGAAGATAAATGCTTCGCCGAAGTAGACTACCACTGCTAGATATTCCCATTTATCCATTGGCCGAAGGAGCAAGGTCCCGACACGTATCATTAAGATAAGACTGTTCGTCATAGCAAGATGGCCTTTCTTGGATGATACCATCCTTCCTGTATACAAGAAGGCGACCTACTATACTGTATAATCTTAGAACTCTATCTAAATAGTCTCTAGATTGAGTTAGAACATTCTCACAAATTCTATTCTATATTTCCATGCAGTACTTAGGGGTGTATAAAACATACAGTAAGGGGAGGTCTACCGTGTACGAGAGCTGCAAAAGCTTGGTCGGCTCGTCCGGTCCACGTGCTCAAAAAGTCGTCCTAGAATGTGATGAATTTGAAATGCTTTCTCTGCAGCAAGTTCTCGGCCTTTAGTGAGCGAAATAAGCTTGTTTATTCTCAACGACTTGTTCGCGATAATTTCCTTTTTGGTATGTAAGTAGAATCGATGCAGCTAGGATACCTAGCTAACATAAGCTACTCCGTTAAAGAACCGATCACTTACAATAGTGCTTAAGCCTGCTAAGCAGTGTCTTCATGGCTTTCTTGTTGAGTTCTTCTATCTTGACCTTGTACTAGCACGTTTACTCGACAGGCGTATCGGATGTAAAATTAACAACTGCTTCCGTACCATTATAACATTCGCTAGACTTATACTCATTAAGTTGGGAAGCACACTTGCAATGTGAGTAAAACATTGACGAAGACTGAATATAATTTTTATCTAACTATCCACCTTCTACCTGGTAATCGAGCCCTTCGTCCATTTCGTCTTAGTTTCGCAATGGTTCTTCCATATCTTCAATCTCGCTCTGATCATTCAGTAGGAGTTGATGCCAAAGTATATCGTACTGCCTATGGTGGCTCTTATTGTGCGATAGGCCCTGCAAGACGGCGGCCCGGGCCCAACCCTTGAGCGATTCAGCTCTATCAAACGGTAAAATTCAAACTAGGATAGGGGTATTAGGTATATATACACATTCCTTCAAGCCTAATGATCCGATTAGTAATATTTACTGTATCCCCAGAACTCTCTATAACTAACGATTATTAGTATACTTGACTATATGTCATAGTAAGTGGGAAAATAACTGTCTCTAGATTTAAAGAGCCTTATTGGGGCAATATCTGCATTAGAATGTGGAGTAAATATAGGGGCATTACCCCTTTCGGCCTGAGAAATATTGTCCACAATATGGTATGATGACGAGACATGGTCCGCCAGATAATGGAGATTATCTGCTAGTTAGTTAGGTTCTTAAATACCTACCTAGGTAAACAACAATATTCGAAGTCTTTAAGATATGTTAGAAATGTTTAATCACGGCCATGAGCGCTTATGTATCTTACTCAGTTCATTTATGAAGCGTTGCGACTAGTTTGCAGCTCAACTAGACGATTTGTCTCAGGTAATGGTGTAAGGACAGCGTTTATCATCTTCGGTGTCTCTTCGGATGGTTAGCTACCGGGATTCAAGCCTTGGGGTCTACAAGACTAGGTTAATAGAGTCGTGTTTGTGACAATCAATGTAGAGGGTGCGATCACTTAGTTGAGAATTATGCTAGGCTCCTAGCGTTTATTCACCAAACGTATCCATAAGGTAGCAGACACTGTAACCAATAATCATGCCTCGAGTAAAAGTAAATTCAGATAATAACTTATGGAAGATACCTAAAAGAGGCAACTGGGCTAGGATTATTTACGATTACTATTGTGTTCTGAGCAGCTACGCATTTACTATCGTATCAACCACTTTTAAAGATTAAATGTTATATTACATGACATAAACACCATAAAACATACTTATACCTTAAACCGACTTGAAGATTGAACATAGAACTTGAATATATATAGAAATTCAATACAAGGCTAGTTTCTCGATATTCGCTTGAACTGGGGGTTCGAGCTAGTTAGGTAGTCAAATATTATGACGTTTATCTTCCTACAACCGAACTCAAGAATGATTTCAAGTAGATAGCAAATAAACGCAGGATAGGAGATATCCCCTCACGAATTGTGTATTGGAAATATATTTACAGGAATATTAAATTCAAAGGTAACGAGCTTACTAACACTTTAGCAACGAGATTTACCTCGTACGTACCTATATCTTTTGGTTTCATCCTGAGCAAGTTTCAGTTTTGTCATTTCTTTTTCTAGATCGCCGATTCTTTTTCCTGTCCCTTTTTGAGGCTTTCTAGCGCCGTAATTCGTTTCTTCATGTCTTCGTGTATCTTCGGGTTCAGACCTTGCTCCTTGGCATTGGCAATGCCTATAGTGCCGGGGGTACTCGGTAGACGAGAAAAATTCGTCTGGGTAGAAGATATTCAAACGTTTTCTCCAGTGTTATTGGGCGTACTAAAAAGATTTGTTCTTCTAGGGTCTCCGAGAGAATAACTTAAGATATCGTTTATAGTATTAGTAGAGGATCCAAATGAAGCGGGCGGAAAACTAGTTATGGAATATTTCGTCAGATAGAAAGGATACGGACCCGAAGATGATCAATGATATCCTCATCAAATACTGATGCAAAACGCAGCAGAGTTGGTAGAATTATATAATAAAAAAATCCGCAGAAAGAAGTACAGACAGATGTAAATATTCTTGCAGAACCAGACGAGGACTATCCGGAATAAGAAACTGATTAGAATTTGATGTGCACGATACTCAAAACTAATCTGCAAGTGTAGTTGAGATAGTCATGTGTGAGGTTGCATTGCGGCAAGGCATACCCCTTTGAGAAATATTGTCTGGCGTTTATGTATCGTCCCGCGGCTACCAAGCATCAATGTAAGCATGCAGATATACCCCTAGTATAGGTATAACCCTCTGGTTTAATCTATTTAGACGCCGTGTAGCACCGCTTCCAGCCGCATCGTTTCATTTGGTATAGTCTTCCAACCTCACTTCAACCAAGCCGCGCGACTGAACAGCCGACTGTCATTAATTCGATGGGCTGTCCCACGATAGAGAACAATACCGGAAAGGAATATGCTCTGGAAGCTTTTACGTGCTGATGTATTATGGCGGCTGAATAAAAAAACACAGTACGAAACTCTCGACAGGTCGGGTCTTAACTATGAGATACTTTATGAATTCCGCTTTAGTTGAGGGCTTGGATAGGGGGGACAGGAAGGGCGCATTAAGGACTCCATAGAGTCATGTGTTGCTCTATGGCATATGGCAGATAAGGATTTATTGCTTTATGCTGCTAAAGGGATGAATATCATTAGCGTTAGTTGATGTAATCATAGTTTTGGTACGAAGTACATGGAATGGCGCAATTCTGCTTATGGATTTCGATAATTCGGTCTTCTGATCTCGACTCACCTTATTTTACCTCACAAAACATTCACTTAGAGAATCTTAGGATAACGGTGTTATAGCATCGCATTGAAATTATTAACGCCCTGCCATTTATCTAAGTTGTTGGTGTATCGGCATCTACATGCAAAATTGAGAGGTTATCTCGAATGGCCCCAATCATTGCGTCATAGTTCCGAATGGTTTGTTCTGAATGGTAAACCAACCTTCAAAGCTACTACAGGGCATCTCTCTCTGCGCCAAGCGTATTTTAACCGATAAATCATCATGGGCTTCCTCGAATTTATATCCGCTGTGTTCGGATGGATATATACGCTGGCATGGTCGTTATCATTCTATTCGCAACCGCTACTAAATATTCGGAGGAAATCAACCTCCGGAACTACTGTAGATTTCCCATTTATCAACACCTTTGGTAAGTTTATTACATTTTATTTAATTCAATACTATAATCTCCTAACGCTCCATAGGCTTTCTTGCCTATCTCATATATAATGCTGTATTCTATTCATCTTCAGTTATTCGACATCAGTACGCTTTACGGAATAATGACCACACGCCGACTGTCGCAGTTAACGATATTGTCTTCGCTGCTCATGCACTTGTTGTCTGTTCGATCTTAACTACTCAGTACTTCTTACCTGCTATCTGGGGGTTTGATCGTGCCCCTGGCACTCGCCCATCTCAACTCATATTGGGTGTTGTAAGCGGGTCGTTTGTTGCTGTTGCTATCATCATCTTGGTAGTGCTATCCACGCCATCAGATGCAGACCCTAAGACTTCGTGGGCATGGCTAGACGTTGTATACACAATATCATACGTCAAGCTACTCATCACTCTTGTCAAATATGCACCACAACTGGTGTACAACTTCAGGAATCACAGCACAAAAGGGTGGAGCATCTGGCAGATATTGCTAGATTTTCTGGGTGGTATGTTGAGTATCGCGCAGTTGGTGATAGATTCTTGGCTACAGGGCGACTGGTCTGGAGTCACGGGTAACCCAGTTAAATTTGCACTGGGAAATGTCAGCATGCTCTATGACCTAGTGTTCATGACTCAGCACTACATACTCTACCGTGACGATGGTTCGGCGAAGAATAGTGAGGAAGATTCTCTTCTTGAGAGAGGCGATGGTCGAAGATTAGACTAGGTCTATGATAGGCGAGCAATATTAAATGTCACCGAGTATGGCTAAGTTGCCATTCGAAGCCTTCAGCTTGAGTGCATTCTATTACGGTTATTCGAAGCTTGCGGAACCGCCTTTAAGAAAACAATATTTGGGGTGGTCATAGTGGTTGCAAGAATAAGACGTTAATAAATTTGTTTAACTTACTAACCTAGGAATTGATAGAGGTGGTAGTATTCATCGTTGAAAGCGATTCGACCGAAATGAAAGTGAATTGGGGGTTATGCTAAGAGGCTAATGAATCAATGGTCGCTAATTAGAGTACACCGTCGAACTTCTTAGTTACTACCTAGGGTTGAAAGTTCGATATGTAGAAAATTTATTGGCCCTAACTACGAATGTAATAGAAGCTCTCTATCTATGTATCCATTCTAAAGAATGGAGAAAAGTTTCATCTTCACGGAAGGGGGGTTTTAACATATTAGTTCACTCATTGTCAACGTCGTTACATGATACTAACAGCAAAAGCTAGTTTAAGTAAAGGATGAGGATCTACACCTTTAATGCACTTTGGTTCTGGATTGGAAATTACATACACGAGGTAGGACAAAGCAAGCAGAAGGCCATGCAAAGATATTTCAACACAAGGGACTCTTTGAAGCTCCTTACATAGTAAAATTAATAAGACCCTGATTTCATAGGAATCTAAAACTGTTAGAGCTAGCTGCCGAATCATAAATTATTAGTTTTGATATCCATGCCTAACATGAATTAGTTGAGCTATATATACTAGAAGAGCCCCAGGGATGTTTTTATTGCTAATTTCACTCTTTTCAGCCCTTGGATCAACCAGCAGGAAAAAAATGCAGCTAACAGAACTAGTAGGAAAATTAGTATACATATATGACTGTGTATATAATTGGGTGGCCTAGAAATATGTTAATCCTCGACTTGACTACCTAAGACACCTATGACAATTGTCTTTGTTATTCCTCTGCTTTGTTTTCTAGGAGGTTTCTAGATATCTCATGGTCCTTATTCTTTCCGTGTCGAAATACAGCAACGGCCTATTCCTGTAATAACCCGTGTATATGAAGCAACTAGAAGGTGGTGGCTGAAAAAAACGGATACGATCCGGATACTCGTGCTAAGCTAAGAGATAAGCAAACATACAGATCAGCCGTTGAGATACCTCATTTGCGTTGGATACTCGTTGAGACTATGATCTAGGATCTGCCCTAAATGCTGTTAAACAGGCGTTATCTTACATTGGAGCTAAAACTTCGCTAAAGAAGTTTAAGGGTGAAGTAATATTGATAAGTAATACATTTTTACACGTGAAACAATCTGAATAGCTACCTACCTGTGTAACATGGGCAAGTAAACACAAACAATACTATCGTAGGTTACGATGAGGATCCCCTTTTCAGAACATCAAAGGATAGATGATTGGTTGAGGGTGATTAGCCCCAGATTTTTGTTTAGGACACTAAACCGAAGTTGCCCTGTTAATTACCCCGGACAGCTGCAGCTGCCAACTGCCTTCACCCAAACTAGCCCTTACCCTACGTAATATGTACCTACCTACCACCTGCTTGGGCTGCTAGCTTAGGTACCTAAGACAGGGGAGGAAGTAACGACCCCGACCCTGAATGTTCAATACATTTATTTAGTTACAGGTAGCAAAAGCCTAGACCCGTGAATTTTCCAGCTGCCGTCCTGCCGCCTCAGTGTCACACCCACTTTGTACTTTACACACTTACTTTATCATTCCGTCACTCCAAATCTGGAATATCGCAATTGAGTAATATAGGCACGCCACATTCTTCGATGACTGCGACGCGGAAAAAAAGATAAGAAAAAATAAAAAGTGACAAGCAGCAAGCAGCGGTCACGGAAGACGTGTTCACAATTCACTCAAAAGATTGGTTCCACGATTGACGATTTATTTCCCTCTCCCGTTTATGACAATTTATCTAAGGTAGCCTACCTAAACTTAAACCAGGTATTGGGTAGTTACCTAAGATAATTAATTATATGATAGTTAACGGCGAAACTTTCTTTTTCTAACTTTTACACCAACCATCTTCTAATTCAGGAAGATGTGTCGCTTTTTGGTACTATACCCTCTTAGGGCCATCGCGTGGATTATGAGGGCTCCAAGCTAATATTCTCTACTTTAGGTCTATCGAGGCAGCGACGAGATCCTACTCTCTAAGTTAATTCTAGACCCGACACACTCTATCCTTAAGCAATCATTCGACTCTCGACTTAGACTGGTGAGTCATTCTAATAGTCTAACTATGGCCTATTAACTAAAATAGAATTACAATCTGATATATAACTAACTCTCATCTATCCTACAGGACACGCGACGCGGCCAGAATAATGCAGATGGTTTTGGCATTGGTTTCTATACCGATCCGAAACTAGGTCCCGCTCCTTGTCTCTTCACTTCAACCATTCCCGCTTGGAACTGCACCAACCTCCATCGTATCGCCTCCAAGACGGCATCAAGACTCGTCTTCGCGCACGTTCGAGCAACCACTGAAGGATCCCTAAGCGAGGATAACTGCCACCCTTTCTGCCATGGAAGCTTGATGTGGATGCACAATGGAGGTTTGGGAGGCTGGAAACATATCAAGAGGAAGCTAGGTGAACGACTGCACGACAAGTGGTACCTTTGCGTACAAGGCGGAACTGATAGCGAGTGGGCATTCGCTCTATTCCTCGACCGCCTCGAGCGTCTGGGCGTCAACCCCAGCTCAGAACCCAGGAATGGCTTTGGGCCAGGTGTTCTACGAAGAGCCCTCTTACAAACAATCGAGATTATCAACGAGCTTACTATGGCTATACCAGAGAGCACCATCCAGAGTGAGAATGTAGACACTCGAAGTCTGTTAAACTTCGCAGTTACGGACGGACATAGCATCATCTGCACAAGATACGTGAGCAGCAAGACTGATGAAGCAGCAAGCTTGTACTATTCTTCGGGTACCCAATGGGAGACCAATCTGTCTACTCCGAATGATCGAGATTACCAGATGGAACGCCGCGATAAAGGAGCAGATATCGTCCTCGTAGCTAGCGAACCTCTGACATTCGAACGAGGTATGTGGCTATTCTATTCTCAACCTTACCGTATCTATTTTGCTAACAGAATACTAGAAAATTGGGTCAATGTTCCCACCAACTCCATTTTGACCATTCACGGCCAAACTGTAATGGTAAACCCAATCATCGACGCTTATTCAGATCGCGATCCGTATCACAAGCGTTCCTCTGCATTTGCGCAAACGAAGGGTCTTACTACCAACGAGAAGGCAGCTCCCCGCGTTACCAGTCCTCTACCCACGCCGAGTATCGATCTCGACAGTCACAAGCGCATTCTTGCTCCATTAATTCCTGCCGGTATCGGACGAAGTCGAACACCTGAAGGCCCATCGTTACCAATTCGAAACAAGACACCACTTGCATACTCGGAATCGGCCTCCGCCTCGTCCTCATCCGATATCCGTGCTCCTCCAAGTGAACCCCGGCCTCGTACAGAGCCACGTCCAGATCTTGGTAACAAACTTCCGTCGCAGGGTAATATCAAAAAGAAGAGGCGTTCGCTTAATATCGGAGAACATCCTCACCCTGCCGACCACCAAGTCGATGTAGAGTTGCCGATGCCGGATAGCCCGGTGCCAAGTTCCGTATCGAGAGGCCCTGACTATACCACATCAGAGAAGGCAGCTCGCGTTCTCGGGATGGCTCTTTAGTAAAGAGATTTCTCAGTGATATCTGGCCGGATTTTCTAAGTAGTGTTTCCGTGACGTTTTCGCATCATGACGGGGGGGTAGTGTCAACATAGATTTCAAGTTCCGCAACTGGTGAGAATGACATCAAAAGGGACCCGGAACAGCATGGCGTTTCTGGTTACTGTGTTTTTTTAGAAGAGCGGTTTGGTGCGTGTAGCATTGTAGCAAAAGTTGATTGCTAATTCCATACCCAATAATAAATTCGTATTTGCCCTCTGCCTTGTATTTAATTCTGCATGAATGATTAATGACTATTATAGATCACGAACATGTTACCGTTCTGATTAACTAATGATTACCTAACATCAGTTTTATATTATGTAAGTAAAGCCCCTGAACCCCTTTTCTCCTGGTTCTATTTGTTCATATTATTTGAAGTACACGTCTCTTCAGCAAGTCCCGATGATCCCCTTTAAGATATATATCACTTAGCCATGGCTGCTGGCCCCGATATGGCATATTTCATAGTTAACGATAATCACTTTAGTAGGCACATCTATCACAGTGATAGCCTACGCCTGATTATGGCATAAAATAGTGTAATTTTCTGGCACATATACGCAACGTAATGATGATAAATGGTCTCATATAGCGTGGCACACATACTCCTAACTGTATAAGACGAAGATGACAAATTGAAAAGTAGTCATTCGTGAGAAGGGGTTAACTGACTATATTATAGCTAATCAGTGAATTCTTATACGTATATGAAAGGAATATAATGATATTAAGTCTCTTCAAAAGTAGGAATCGAAAGCGATTTAACAAAGACGGTGCTATTATATTGTGGAACTCCTTGATAGCATGTGTAAAGTGTATACTAATTCCTAAAAGTGTATGTCTCTGGTTTACGCGGACTCTAAATTGATATATCACGCTTACCCACGTATAGGTTGCTCTTCATAAACACCTACGTAGACACGTCCATAAGCTAGGTACATATAGATAGACATATAATGTAATATTATATCCGTAGGGTATTACTAGATATATATAACTGAATAGTTAAGGCTATAGGAAAGACAAGTACGTACGAGGTAACTAGCACTTTTTAGTAACACTTAACAAGCGCTATGCTCTCACTCTTATAGTTTATATGACACTATGGCATCTTGATATAACAGAGTCGGTATGTGTTTAACCCTTCAGAATATCCCTGTATTGCGATATATTCTCAATAACAGAGAAAAAGGCCAGACACGAGTAAGTTAGTCATATGGAAGCCAATGGACCGCAGTCCACTACTATTATCAAGATTACTTATATACCTCCAATATAGTATTATTTCTTAATGGAACGGGGTTTCATCTATGTTACTACCTCATATGACTATATGCAAGTGATATGAGGTAGTCTCTTTGTAACCAAGTTCAAGGTGTCCCGTTCTTTTTGAGATCTGCCTGGTACTCTTTTTATAGCGTCAGTCTCGGTGAAAGTATACACATACCTACCTACTCAAAACATATATATGGACTTATATAGGCCCTAGGTATGCCTTTAGTTAATATAAAATTCCTTAAGTAACGGATGTATACTAGGTGTAGTTCCGTGGCCACCCCTTTCAACATAATACTCTAGGAGAATGTGACGGCTTCGTCTCCGGCTTCTTCTATTATATTTCATATCTAATTACCCAAGATCTTATATCACAGACATCGGAGATGCCGCTATATCTGCCGTGATATCTACCGCTATTATATAGATTCGTAGCACTATAATGCACTAATTGCGTTCTTTCATTACTCCCATTTTATTTCCCGTGCCTCTATTCTTACCTACCTAGTAATAGCAAGTCTATTCCCGTAAATATAGTGATTCTCCCCCAACGGAATACCCAAATTGACCACCCGTGAGAAAATAGTCGCAAGTATGCTGGCGCGAGCACGAGCAATATAAGGAAACACATGAGATACCCCTGGAGATACTAGTACCATAGCGGCTCTCCTAATGGTTCATTACTACCTCTGCATGCATACTATCTCACTTTGATGAGCACCACGTGCCGTCAATACTACCCAAAAGTGACAGAATTGAGATCTAACCTGCATAATGCAGTTGAACTCACTGCATAGGTCTTGTTAGTCCTTCGACTACTTGGTGAAGTTTGCACGCGTAATTGCTTTTCGTCCGTACAATAACCCCGCGTCTATGACATATCGGCCTGTCTTGAAGGCTAGCAGATTATTTGGTGATATCATGCATGATGCTCATCCCAACGAATACTATTACCGGTGGCGCTCTTAGCGGTGAAAACATCTCCAAGTACTAGACAACCTAATGCCTCCGCTTCTGCATGAAATAGCCTAACCCAAGCCAAGATTCTTATATTTTATATAGCTCAGTGTACCGGTAGGCTTAGACGACGCTGTGAATTCAATAGATAATCGCCTATCTAGAATCTAACATCGACCTATCAGAGCTATATACCGCGTAAGATCTAGGAATCTTTGTTCAATGATACCAAATCCCGATCTTCAATCACCAACATGCATATTACCAAAGCAATGCTATGTTTCACTGCTAAAATATTACGGGCTACTATGCGCCCCAATAGCTTGGCTCTAACCAAACCTCTTCGAAACAAGGATCGCTATGAGAGTTAATGGGAAATGGTTGGACGATCGTCGGAAATCCAACCCACTCCACTCCGCACTCCGTCTCTCCTTATCTATATAAGGCTAGTAGATTCCATAATCAGAGTCTCATTAACACGGCATTCTCTGGTATACACAAGCTTGGCCTGGGGATTATGATAATATGGCATCAACCTACGACTTTATAATCGTTGGTAGTAAGTCCACCCGAACCAAGCCACCCGTAGTACAAACCCCTCCGTTAACAATATCGCATAGGCGGACCAGCAGGCAGCGCCGTCGCAGCCTGGCTCGCGAAGTCGGCGAAGAAGCCTAGGGTATTGCTTCTCGAAGCCGGCGGCAAGAACGACGACAAAGACTTGCGTGTCGACGGGCAGCGGTGGACGACATTCCGGAACGAGGCCCTGAACTGGGGCTACAAGACAGTACCCCAGGAGTTCTGCAACGGCCGAGAGCTCGACTACTCGCGAGGCTTGGGCCTCGGCGGCTCCAGCGCTGTTAACTTCAGCGTGTTCACCGTCGGAGCACGCCGCGACTACGACGAGTGGTCGCGCGTCGTGGGGGACGATGCGTTCGGCTGGGCTCACATGCAGCGCCGGTTCAAGAGTCTGGAGTCGTTCGACCGGACGCTGCCGCCGGGAATTGATAGTCGGTATGCGGCGCCGAAAGCCGAAGACCACGGCAGCTCGGGGCCGCTGAAGACGGGTTACGTGGCCGAGGCGGAGAAGGACGTAGCGCCCCTGCTTGATGCCTTCAAAAAGGCGGGGTACCCCTTGAACCCGGACCATAACTCGGGGAACCCGATTGGCTTCTCCTTCGGGATCAACTCGTCTAGTAAGGGCGTCCGGTCTACGGCGGCGGACTTGTTCACGCTGGCGCCGGAGAATTTAACAGTCCTTACTGAGTCTCCGGTCAAACGAATCATACTAGAAGGTAGTAAAGCCGTTGGAGTTGAATCGAATGGCAAGCGTTGTAAGTCTGATTTATACAGAGAGATCCGGGTTAGTGGTCATGAGCAGCGTATAGCGTACTAATATTAATGTTTAGACTTGGCTTCCAAAGAAGTCATTCTCTCAGCAGGTTCAGTCAACGACCCAAAGGTTCTAATGCATTCCGGTATTGGCCCTAGAGCACAGCTAGAAAAGTACGGGATACCTGTAGTCAAAGATGTCCCAGCAATCGGCCAGGGCCTACGTGATCACATGTTTATTCCTCTAGCCTACACGCGAGCCGAAGAGTCCACAGACCGAGCCTCTTTCTACGGGGACAAGAAAGCCATGGCCGACGCACTGGAGCAGTGGAAGAAAGACGGCTCGGGACCTTGGGCCAAGTATGCTTGTCAGTTGCCCATCGGGTGGTTCAAGCTAGACAAGCTCCTCGCATCTCAGGAGTTCCAGGACCTACCTGCTAGCGAAAAGGACTTCATCAACGACCCCACGGTGCCTCACTACGAACTGCTAAGCCACTTCCCGCTGCACTGGTTTGTGCCAGACTTCCCGGACTCGGCGCTCAACTACTCAGCGCTCCTAGTCTTCCTATTCAATGCGCAGAGCCGCGGCGAGGTAACTCTACAGTCGGCAGATCCGGACGCAGCGCTGCGGATAGACCCTAAGTTCCTATCAACAGCGTTTGATCGGCGTGCCGCTATCGAGGGGCTGCGAGATGCGCTACGGTTCGTGCGGTCCGAGGGTTACGCACGAGACAGCGTATCAACGATTACAGGGCCAGCAAGCGACTCGGAAGCAGACTTACTTGAATATTGGCGCCAGACGATAGGTTCAAGCGTAAGTAACATAACAACCTACCCCTTTCCATATACCCCCCCATCTCGGGGTAAAATCAAGACCTCCTAAACTATGCGATAAAAAAAAGAAAGCTCTTATTCCCGAGACAGCCTTATACTCTATACATCTCTTATTAAAAAGGGGGGGTAACTACTAACTCTTCTCAAAGTGGCACATGACCGGCACTGTAAAGATGGGCCGTCCTGGCTCCGTCGATGCGGCCGTAGATAACAATTTTCGCCTTATTGGGTTTGAGGGCTTGCGCGTTGCAGACATGAGTGTGGTCCCTGTTCTCGCGAGCTGCCATGTCCAATGCGTTGCGTATCTCACCGGTATAACATGCGCCGAAAAATTAATTTCCGAGTATGATCTCGCGTAAGCTAGAATGAGTGGACGGTTTATATGCGTACCTAGGTAGAGTGGTTTTTGTTTTGGGGAACGTGTAGATCTGTGAGCAAGTGTCTCGTCTAGACATGTAAAATTGAATAATATTAGAAGGCAACAGTGCTTATTTATCACTGTATCACATATTGAGATTGCTACTATGGTGTTTCCTTATCTGTATTTCTCTACATGATTTATATATGTGGCTTAGGTATATATGGTCATGTTTATAAGATGAACTTCAGGAATATAGTCAAGCAGAACATTAGCATTGATAACCATGCATAAAATATTGCTGTCATAGAAAGAGGGGATCAAATCTATATAAACCCACACACATGTTGCCAGAAAACCAACCATCGAGCTGGGATTTGAAAGGGATATCTGGACAAGTAATAGGCGCTGAGATAACTCTTTTTTTAACTCCTTTCCATATCGTGATAATTCGTTAGTAATAACTAGATATTTTAATAGCTTAGAACAACCCCCATCGTCCACGTTCTTTCTCGCCGCCTTTCTTTACATTTGTCCTTGAACGCTCTCTTTCTATACCTTCGAGCTGCCTTAGGCTATCCATCTTCTCTAGTACTAGCTCGAGAAGCTCCTTACGTCTAATAACTTCTAGATGCTTCTTGATTTTGGGGTCTTCCTTGGCAAACCTTTCCACTTCCTCGTCGGATAGGTGACGTCCAAGTCGTAAGTCTAGCTCTCGTGGAAAGTTGTAGTAGAATTCAGAGAGTAGTTCCACGTTAAGGAAAAGTACGGCTGTCGATGCAAGTTTCGAAGCCACTGCATCCAGAAAGACCTCAGGGCAGTGATATTTATTCTTCATATTAGCGCATTGTTTTGACTTCACTGCAAGCATCCGCATCTTGATAATATCGGCGCGATCACGTAAGAAAACGGCTTCTCGACCTGGAAAAATGTTAGCGAGTTATTCCCAATGTGTAAAGGCTGATAAGATCAAACCTTTTGCAAGTAGCTCAGCGCTAAAACCTCCTGCACCACTGCGGCTGTCGCCCTCGACGACCACATCGCCTTTCCTAGCCTTGTCGACAAAGTTGACAACTTCTCTCAGTTTTCTCCGCCCGCCAACTACTGTCTCAAGATCTTTCATGGCACCTTCACATGCAGACAATTCCTTCTTCAATACACCTTGAACGTGCTCCCTACCTGTAGTCCACTCTCGTTCTTCCATGTCGATCTCGAACTTGAAAGGCTTGATACAATTTTCTACCTGATCGCTGGTACTGTAAAACCGGTCATTTAAAATACTTGAAGCGGCTTCTGTGATAGCCTGCCGTGCATATGGATGGTTTACGAAAGTAGATTGGCTGATTAGAGCGTCGATGTGAGATTGGATCGAGTTTGCTACCACGTTGGTGGCTAGTCTACCAACACCAAGTTTCGTAAGTGCGGAGGTGGAAGCGTCAAGTTGTCTTCGCCAGTAAAGGGAGTTGGGATCTGCTTTGGGAAGATCGGCAAGGTTATTAGGCTCGGCGATGGGGGCACTTAAGTCGTAAATAGGCTTGTTCCAATATCTCGCAGCTAATAAGTCAAGCATTCGTTGATCAAGCTCGTTCTTTAGGAGGGTATTCATTTCAGGACGACCAAATTCTTCGGTAAATTGCTTAAAAGAGTGTTTGAAAGCATCGAGACTCTCGGCCAAATATGACTCGGCAGATAATGGTCTATCATTGTACTGGACCTTAAACTCATAAGTCGCTTCTTCTAGCTCTTGCCGTATAGAATCACTTGTCGACTGTAGACTAGCCGACATAGTCTGCTCTAGGACGTGCATAAGCTTCTTACGTAGCGTTGAAGTCCCAACCTGGAGATCTGAGCCAGGACCAAATTCCGTTGGGTGAGCGGAGAAAAATGTATTTTCGTTTCGAGTAATAGTAGATGTTAAATTTGTGTTGCCCTTCTTGAATAACCCGGACATTGACGGGACACGAGAGATGACTCCAATGTAGCCGAGGCGAAGCGGGTACTGCGTATCACCTAGAATAGAAGCTCCCCGAGATGGATCGATAAGATCCATCTTCGTAATAACACCTATTGTCCGCTCACCCCGGGGATCGACCCGCCTACTAGCTCGGAGGGCCGTCGAGTTAGCTAAATCAACATCGGCAGCTGAAATAGCCAAGATAACGTTAGGTGGTTGTATATATTTGTCGCAAAGTTCTGATATCCTCTGCTTAAGTTCGAGGGGCTGGTTTTGTCCCACAACTTGGATATAGCCAGGAAGGTCGATAAGTGATAGATCCGGAATATTTGGTGACGAAATGGAAAGCCGAATTGGGTCGTCTGACACGCATTGGCTGTCTGGAACAGCCTGGTTTAATTCCGTTAGAGTTCGCTGGATAGAGGAGAAGTCGGAGATCTTTCCAAGGCCTAGATCCGGAAATTCACCGTATTCAGCAGTCGAGTCGGGGGTGTTGATTAGGGTAAGCTCGATTGGCCTCCGTGTGACCATATTTGTTCCTTTTGGTAGGAATTCGTGCCCCACGATAGCTTCTAACACAGAGCTCTTCCCGGATGACTGCGATCCAATGACGACAATGGAGGGTAGAGTGAGCGTACTAGATTGTCCAACTCTAGAGAGAATGTTTCGGATTTCGATCATCTTCTTTGTGAGCACCATCATTTGGTCATCTTTGGCCATTTCATCTGCACTACGGTCATCGTCAGATGATTTCTCGTAGCCGTACGCGGCGGCGCTTGCACCTGCCGCAACTGCGGCACCCGTCTTGCTCTGCTTCGGAGGCTCCTCGCCACCCGGTCCACCACCTTGTTTCCCAGTGCCTATCTCTTCCTGTGATCTGAGAATCTTCTGCATCCACTCCGGCAGCTCGACTTGATCTTTCGTATTTTGCCACCCTCGCTTCGTCTGGTCAGCAATATCCCTCGCGCCATCCAGAAAGCCCATCGCTGTATTCGTAACTGTGTCTTTCGTCGTATAAATTACGTCCCAGGCATAGTTCCCGGCCTCTGGGTTCTATGTTAGCTGAGTCTCTTAGACGAGTGTATAGGGTAGGATTTAGGCCGACATACGTGTGGCTTGGTACTGAATCCAGGCCAGACCACCTATCATCACTCCACCTGCCATAGCAGGAATCCTTACAAACTTAACCACCAGTCGAGGTAAGAATCGCGCAAAGGACGCATTGCGAACGATGACGGCGTTATGGAATGAATTTACCGGAGGCCACATCCGCCGCCGCGTTGCACGTACGGCAGCATCGGCTCGGAGGATACCACCTGAAGGTAGGTGATGATATTGGCGTATGGCTCGAACCATGGCCGGGCGTGTCGCCGGGAGACGCCCGACCGCTGCTATCAGCCGTCCGCTCATGCCGGTAATGAGAGGCGGAGGCGATCTGATATCCGAGAGTAGAGAACCATAAAGGTCGACAGTTCGTAGATACCGATTCGGTAAACTGGGAAGAAGGACGAGTTTTGATGTGCGTATCCTGGGGATCTGGGTACCAAGTAGATTAAAATGTCGGTTGGACGATAAGGATACACGTAGGAAAGGTGGGCTGGTGGCGTGGAGCTCGGAAGTCAAGTAAAAAGTACCACCTAACTAAACATACCCCACAAATACTCGATACAAGTATTATTCCATTACCTACATGTACCCATGTACGTACTACAAGAATATGTACTTAAGGAGGGCCATTACTTGTCTACCCGGTTAGGTTGTCAGTCACGTGTTCACCAACTACATCATCTTAGTCTAAGGGGTATCGCAAAAATCAAATCACATTACTATCTTGAGAGCTCAAGAAAACACAAGTTACCTGAGTACCCAGCTATTAGAAGCAGGCCACTTCCATTATCCCCTCAATTCCCAACTAGATACCTCTAGTTGAGGATACCTAAAGTTACCCGTACCAGAACCACCTAGACGAGATTATAGTTCGCTAATAACGCTGGAAGGTTCTGTACTTCTGCTTCCATAGCCTTATCTTTAGTCCATTTATCGGAGAACAAAACCGATGAACCAACCACTTCGCCCTCAAGGCTATAAGTGAAGAGGAACCATTCTGCCCCTCCCTCATCGACCAAAGGTAGCCACTCAACTACGCATGGCGTTTGTATTATAACTTGTTCCGCTTTCTGGAAATATTCCTCCTTCAAAAGGTCTACCTTTCTAGCCGGAGGTTGAGAATTTCTTGATTAGTAGATTGTATCATTGATGGTTTGGAATCCTCGGAGTTGAGTATTAAAGAGTCGGTAATATTGCAACACCATTTTGCCTTTTGTTTCAATAGTATCTCCCTTTCAAATAGTCAGCAGATGTAGTACATATCGTGAGGATAGTTATATAATTGTAACTCACCCGTTTTAAGACCCATTCTATCTGGTCCTTGGCCACTGTACAATTGTTCGTGACATCATGGAACCTGTCTTCGAAATGATGGGCCCCCTCATGGAACGGCTTGTCTAAGAAGTATCCATAACTGTATCTGGAAATATGGGAGCGTACCAAGCCCTGATGTTGCGTTCCACACATCACAGCGCCCCTTGATATAGCAGTCATTCCAACATCCCCCAATTTCTGGATAATATCAATCCCGTGGCAACAACCACGTTTCAGGGACTCATAGATGTATGGACAATTTCCAAACGCTCCAGATAATATGATAAGCTACACTTCCAGTTAGTCATGCATCAATATGAATAGATAGCAGTTCTTAGATGTAATAATTCGCAAAGTAATAAGTAATGTTACCTTTGGATATCGTAAATTCTTCTCTAGAATGGCATTGATTTGGTGTTCAATCAAGGCCTCGATGGTAGGCATCACGATTTTGAAGATGCTGCAGATCTCATTGCTATATCCCAATGGTTAAGCAAAGATCACTTAGGTAGTGATAATAGTTCACATACCGTGTGAAGTTCAATATGACATGTCGACCATTTCGTAAGCCCAAGTCGATAGAGAGTGCCATATCCGAGTCAGTGGCGAATCCTGCTTTTAGGAAAATATCCCAGGTTTTGAATATTTTTTTCCTTCTCTAGAGAGTGTAAATCATCCTAAGATCTACGCTCTTCGTCCATGATCTTTTTCTTGATTGCCATGCAAAATGATTGGTAAAGGAGTACTGCCCCACCAATAGCGCCATCGCCTTCGACAACCTCTTGGAGCTCGAAACGTTGAGTCTCATCTACCATATAACTTATGCAATCCTATCTCAAATTAGCATCCAACGTTCGAACTGAAATAGTTGCGATACACATACAATAGATCCTCCCCCGAGGTTTACAACGATGAACAAATCTTTGGGGGTGAATATGTCACCTCTGTTCAACTCGGGGGCTAAAGCTAGAATAGTCGCCTCTGGCTCCGTAATAAACTTGTAGGTAATTTTTAGGACCTGGTTGGGACGAGAAATTAGGATTCCAGATAACCCTATTGCCTCTTTCATTCTATCCAGTAGTTTGGCCCCTCCTAAAATTTCCGGTACCGTAATAACGACATGGAAAGGCTTGCCATTCACAAAGTCCTCGCCCCTTTCCTGGCTTATACAAGTGACGATATGTTCGAAGATCTTTCCTAGGAAGTCTCCAACAATTTGGACAGGGTTCTTGCTCAGGACACTGATGATACGTCTTGATTCTTGGATGTAATCCAAATCCCGAAAAGATGGCTGTAGGTCGTTATCGTCCACTAGCAGCAACTCAAACCATGAGACAACGTGTTGCTTGTCATCAATATCAAGCTCCCGATAAATGCCTTTGTTAGCATCGTACGATATCATAGACAGCATTTTTATATCCTCCATGCAGTAATGAAGAGGGCCAGGCCATTTACAAATGACTGAAGGGGCAACCCGGCTACTCGTAGTTCCATCCTTATGAAAGCTGTACGAAGCTATACAGCACCTAAATAATAATAAGTAAATAAAAGAAGTTTAGAGACGAGATATTGCTTACGTTGGTCCCATGTCAATTCCGACCACAAAACCTCCGGCATGCCAATGGTTGGAATTGTATGCCGAGCCGGATAACTCCATGACGAATGTTGCGATGTGGATGAGTGCGATACGTCGTAAGGTTTCCTGACTAACTGATAGAAATCAAGAAAATAGCTGGTAGTAATCTCCTATCTACCTAAACAAGGTGAAAATGAAGTAATGGTAAGTGTTGGGTAGGTAGGGATGTATATTAGATACTTATTAATTGTATCTCAATGAAGCATAGGTACCGGAGATGGTTTGATACTGTCTCTTGCTTACCCACCTAAGGTACCTAAGATGTGTATGTCGAAAGGAGAAGAGACCTTAAAGATGGAAATTGTATGAGACTAGAAAAACTAAGCGGGTTTAAATATGTGAAAAAGCTACTGGGTACCTACCTATGTAGGTACGTATAGCTCCTACCCAGGCCGGTTGGTTAATGAGAACCTTAAGTATTTAGTAAGTGACAAGTGTTGTTGCTTTTACTTGTAAAAAACAAACTTGACTTAACAATCAGAAGCACCAACACAGCTTTAAGTCTCGCCTTCCAGCCTTATTGATATCGCAGGAACCAAACTGTGGTCATATTTTTACAACGTAAACAGCCGTTCAAGAAAAGTCACTATCCCCCTTTGACAACCACGGAAACAGGTAGGTACCCAGATATCTACTACCTTCTTTATCAGCAATTTAAATTCGCCTTCGGTTTAATAGCCTGTATAATCCGCAATCATGCCTCCTAGATCATCTCTAATGGAGTCATCCAAGGCAGCGGGGAAAATTCATTCTAGTATACCTACTGCTATGTCATCCGAGTTGCTTTCTACAATGCATCCTACCTTACTTATCAATGTATCATTTCCATGGCCTCGGAATATCATTGGAAATGATGGTATGGAAATTAAGCATAGTGAAAAATACGACTCAAACGAAGATCCCCATATGGCGGAGGAACCAACCCGCGCTGTCAAGAGTTCCCAGCCAGAAGAAAAGACAAGGGATATTCAAAAGCGGAAACGCCAACAGACGGATGAATCAACCCCCCATCTTAGTTCAAGCAAATAATCGAAGCTTGCGGAAAAAGAGTCTCGAATTTGAATCGGAAATGCTAGAGGGTACAAAGCAGAAGTTTGATCAAGAGATCGACTCAGCTAGAGATCTTCAACCAGCAAAGAACAGCTACAGAAAGTAGCGATCAAATTTATGAGTTGGGACAGGCGCATGCACCTTTATTCTTCCGGGCATTTGTATGGAATTTCATTTGCACCGAGATCCTAGAAACCCCTTTCAAGCTATAGGGAGATGACGATAAGCTAGGGTTGAGGCTGAGATGATTCTATTGTAAGTATAATTTCTGGGCTATGGTTGGAACATATCGTTTGGGAGATTAATGATTGATTAGCGGGCGAAGTTGGTGGCAACGGCGAGGAACTTGACCGCTGGCGATCATATACAGCTCAAATACTTTATAATTACTCGAAGGATGTAGCAAAGATCCAAGGACTTAAATACGAATTACTGGAGTTGACTAAACCGTTCCTCATCAAGCAAAAAGAATGCGAGATCGAAACTGAGATCAAGCCAGCTATTGATGTGATCTTCGAGGAAGCAATTCATATGGCTCTGATAATGAACTGGATGGATAGGCAATTCGAATTCATCGAATTCATAAGAAAGGGTCTTTCGATTCCTGACGACGTTCCACGAACCTTTGATAATCGATGGATGCGTGTAGAAGCTCATACTCTGGTTGATGATGATGATGTCGTTGACCTCATAATCTCTCCATGCGTATTTATGTATATTAGAAACCCCGTATACATGATCGAGCGGATGAATATTTTGGTGCGAGCGACGGCCTATTGTTACAAGAAGGGAGTGAGTGTATTCTTTAGACCAAGAAAAGGCAGAGGGCAACAATTTTGCAAGACTGATTTCTACGAAAGCACTATTTTTAAGAAAGTAAAGGAGGAAGCAAAGGACTCTTAAAAATAAGAATATAATGATGTAATATTTCGGAGTTGGGCAGGACATTCTGGTATTAGAGCGCGAAATCGACCATCCTATTGCGCTGATTGTTTTGTAAAGAGAGGGGGCAACTTGACGATCTTGACTAACCATGGGCGCGTGCGAAAAGTCTCAATCCCCCACCCACACTTAAGGTATTCTACAGATTAATTACTTGAGGAGAAATGGAAGGAATACCACGTGTAGCGTTTGATTACTAGATAGGTACCTAATATATAGAATTGAAAGCGTTCCTTCTTAATGGGTTTACAGAATATTTTAATGAGGGTGGGAAGGCGGGAGCTAAGGAACTCCCGGTCGCTTCTGTAAGTTGCTCGTACAGTACAAAACTTATTTTACAACAACGACCATGCGGAATCCACGCCAATAAATATGTATCAGAGCATCGCATTAAAAACAACGTAATAGGTATTGGATCAAATTGAAATAAAAAAAATTTAACCCCAGACAACCCGCTTTCGGAATTATTATCTTCCACAAATCATCATTAGGTTTACCTTAGGTACCTTACCCAACCTTCATCATGGAGGCCTTACGAAGTCAGCTCGCTGAGACGCAAGGCGCGCTCACGGATAAAATACTTCAAGTTAGGCAGCTACGAGCAGATCATGCCACTGCGCTTAATACTTGGACGCAGCAGAAGCAGGACTTTGAAGCAAAGTTACAACAACTCGAAGATGAAATCCAGCGATTGCGCCAAACAAATGAAGCTTCTGAAGGAAATGAGAAGCTGTTACGCAGTAAGGAAAATGGACAGCGCGCGAAGAAAGTCTCATTAGCTTCACTCCTCGATGATGAACCAGTGGGTAATAGTCCGGTCGCGCGGGAAGGGGATGACGAGACGGTCGTGATCACCCGGTCGCGAATGGAGGATATTGAGACGAAGTTCGAAAATATAACAAATGAGCTGACGGAAAAGACAAAACTCTGCGAATCCTTGCAGCAGCAACTACATGTTCGACGAGGTAGTTTTGATGCTGCAGATGCTCGCGACATTACCGACGATCAAGTTATGGAGCGATGGGAGAACCTACGGGACAAAATTCGAACACTTTCGTTGGATAGATTCAACGAGACCATTCAGCCGAAACTGGTGCCGGACAAGTCAAAAGTAGAGTTTGAACATCTATCGAAGCACTGGAAGACCTACATGACTAACGGCGACCTAACTTGCTATATCTTCCGCGCACTGATCTGGAGATATCTGTACACGTGTTTACTGAGTAAATACTGCCGGGTGTGGGGCAAGGAATATGGCGATGCGGCTACGAAACTGGGGCGTTTTTTCGTGACTAAGATAACGGACGTAGAATTCGATGTATGGCGAATACATACCGCGCAGCTGTTAAATAAAGCTTGTGAACCAGACCCAGCCGTCGTGAGCGACGTGACACAGAAAATATTGGAAGCTACTACGCTATTTGCGACCGGAATCGATACCGAAGCCCTGACCAAGTCGCTGACCGAGATCGTCACATTAGCAGCAGAATTCAGCACTATCTTGGCTCGTTCGCGATACTTGGCTTTGATGGCGGATAAGCCCGGTAGCGATCGCACGCGCGGATTTGCGTATCAGGCGGCAACTATGGACGTGAGAAGCCATCTCGGAACTAAGACGATTGTGGACATGATGATCTCGCCATGTCTACTGAAGAAGGAAGCCGACTACGTGGTCCTTGTGAAGGCGGACGTCATCTGCTAGAAGTAATGCGCAAGTCCCGATATGACGTGAGGCGGCATCGGGGGAGGAAGCTGTGTAAACGAAATGTGCAGCGAAGCAGACGAAGGGTTGAGCAAGGCGAGAATGAATGTTGATGTCACAAATTTCCCCGTGTACTTCACGATTAGGGATTATAGGACTGCGTTGGGTATCTACCCCTTAATTCAGTTAAGTGTCTATGTACCTTATGGTAGGAAGGCAAATAGATAGACTATTCAGCGGAATTGGCTTCTCTACCAAACCTTTTGTAGGTATAATCATAATGTTCCAAATGATGTAATCTCTGTTCTTTTAATCACTATTAACTCCGTGGTAGTTTTAGGTTGGGCTCCTGTGTCTTATCGATAGATAATTTTTACATGTGAGAATTACATCTTGTGGCTGTAGTTAAGCTTCCGCAGATCTGCACTGAAGAAGGCCCGCTTTTTGAACCCTTGTTTTAATGTTACAGGCGAACCTCATGCAGGTGCTAGTTGGTTCTTCTACTTAATTCATTTTCATTGCACATCACTCTTCTATGCTGCTTTGTTAATATTTTATAAGGTAGTTACTTTAGCTAAGTAATTTATCTCTTACTATATAGCTATATTTATGGCTACAGCTACAGCTACCTCAGAGCTCATTTTCTCGCCGCAGGCAAATCATAATTTCTCCCGCATACTTAGCGATCTTAAAAGGTCCAACCTCTCTATCACTAACCGTCTGCGCTCTATACGGGAAGATGCAGATTTCGTATCCGAGGTAGCAACTGCATTCGCCCGTCCGCTGATTGCTAACGAGCGCTGCGGTAGCTGGTACATTACTCCCAATAATAAAGCCGGATCTGCTTATTTTAAAAGCACGGATGGCCACACGGGCCAGTGGAGATTTAGCACGCGACGGCTTAACCTCAACTTATTAGGCATCATCGGTGCAAACGATGGCTGCGTCATCGTGGACTCGACGAGGAGAGGCAAACGAATGCCTGATGCCCTCAGTAAGACTGTACCGATTTGGTGCTGTGTGCTGAACCATGTTTTGTTTCCGGAAACACCAGCGTTTCATGAGCTCTACACTCCTCCAAATACGGTATCGCAGTCTGAACATGCCCAGATGGAAGCAAGGATCCCTGAGCACGTGGCTTCACTTAAGGAACTTAGTATCAACGTGGATGCCTTACGCCAGGAGCTGAAGAAACCGCTGAGACCCATGTGGGTTACGCAGGAATCGCAGCTTCTCCCGACGGACCATGTGTTTGATGACTTCCATCCCGTCATTTGTTGTACTAGTTCCCGTAGAGTTCTTGGCGGGGAGATGAGCGAGGGGGGTTACATCCAGGGCGCTGGTGACGATACCGAGAACTGGGCCCTGGGATTAACCCCGCCAGTTTTTTGGCGCCATGCGGATATCCTATTGTCCACCCCGGAGGCAGATCTACCTGACCTGGTGCGCTCCTTGGTATTAGATCAAGCTGTTGATATAAATGCACCAGGTCCTAGGGAAATTGCGCCGTCTTTATTTGTCGGCTGCTTACCACTTTCTGGCCCACCAGATTCTTCATCAACTTGCACAATTGCTATCTACTCAAGGACTACAGACCCAAGCACCTGGGTCAGGAGCCCATCGTTCATGGAGGTTGGTGTAGGTAAGCACAAAATTGCTAGTCGCAATCTTCGTCTAGCCCTCCCCAATATCAATGACTTCGTGCGCCAGTTCCTGGAACAAAAACCAGAGCCCAGCTCCTCGGAGGAGGATCTAGGCGCAACCCCTTCGGAGCCAAGGCGTATCTTGATTGCTTGCGATACTGGTAAGGACCTATCAGTTGGGATAGCCCTTGCATTATTATGCCAGAATTTTGATAGCGAAGGCAACCTCAAACACGACGTACAATCCTCTGGTCATACCAAGAGCGATATCAGGATCAAGCTCAGCCGTATCATGACCGCCTTCCCTGAAGCAAATCCAAGCAGAGCAACATTACAAAGTGTCAATAGCTATCTCATGGGCTAGGAGCCTTGCTATTATGCTCTGTATTGTTTTCAATTTAAGCATTATAATGAATATCGAGACGCTTTCTTAACGATTCTTATGCTTGGCACTTGAAGCTCATTACTTCGGTTGGGCTTTCCTCCGCTAAATCCGGACCTAGAATTCCTTCCAGTCATGGCCGTGCTTGGCCTTACATAGGGGTTACTCAGCTGAATTATTCTAGAAGTTGAGCGCTGATAGGTAGGTATATATGTTATATATATCGCATATATTGTTTATTTAAGTAACTCCCCAGTATTTGGTGGAAAGGTTTGCGGTTGTTCTCGTCACTACACTTCTCTTATTGCCGTATTAAAAAAATATTATTCCCTTGATGGGGTAAGCTTCTATCGCCTTATATTAAAGTCTTCACGAGTGGCCCTGAGTTGCGGTTGATATATCCTCGCTATTTCAAACTAAAGAGACCGAAGCTAGAAAGCGGCGTACTTTACCTTTATACCTCTTCATCTTATCTTTAAATAACGCCCTCTAGTTCCTCTTTACTTTTCATCCTCAACTAGAATAAGGAACCAACGACTTATAAAAATATCGGCTGGGAGGAAATTAATCGTGCCCAGACCTCCTAGCCATGGGGGGATCATCTGGAGCTGGAGGCATGTAGGAGAGGAAACGTCATCGATGTTCTGATATCTAATCTGGTCGCCGAATCATATGCACATCAATAGTCTCCGAGAAAAGCGCTATGGATGAGGCCAGATGCTAACTTTAGGTATAGCACCCAGTGTCATCATGTTGTTCTGATGTCTTGTAGGCACTTCCGGGGTTGTGCGACTGAAGGATTCTACGTAGAATTTCTATCTCACCTACCCTTAAATAGGTATATGGGGTGACGGGCATCGGCCCGTTCCTAGCAACTATGGTTCTGTGACACCTACTCACAACCACTTCGGTTCAGACCAGCAACTCTTGTTTCGGAATAAAGAGCCGAATTGTCTTCGATTCAAAATTGAAACGATTCCTGATGGGCTTTTTTTGGTGGTAAGGAATCTCACCCTCTGCAGCGAACCAAAGGCACCGCGTGGATCTCGGACCCGAATCGTCGTCATGTTTCGAAATTATAGTAAGCCCTAAGTAAAACGCCTCTAAACCTGCAAGTCATACAAGATTCGAGATCTCCCCCCCTAGGTATTACCAACTTTGTTGTGTTGAATTGCGGACGTCTCTTGGCTCATCCTATGCTTCTGAGCACAAGCCACAATACCGTATGAGCCTGCTTGCTATATCTGCCAAAATGGACAGGCTGTCGTCTCACCCTGCCTTGTAACATATGTTACATATCCATAGCTTTTCAGGAGATCTGATATAATTAGATTCCAAGTCGTTGGCATATAATTACCTACCTGCTGTGGACGGTCAAATTTCTCCTGGCCGAGACTCCATATTCGTATGTTAATTAACTACTTCGTTAATGTTTTTATTTTATTTTTTCGACACACGGAACAGATGCCTCTCTCCGAGAACGCTGTCCCTCTAATCGGCGTCGTTACGCCTTTTTTGGCCCTTGCATTTCTAGCTGTTGGCTTACGACTCCACGTTCGTGTGACCTTATTGAGGAATCCGGGAGTTGACGATTGGCTATGCCTTGGTGCGGTAGTAAGTTCTCGGCTACCCACCCCCCCTTCCCCCAACTACCCTACTTAACGGCGGCCGTGCTGAATATTTTTTTTCTTCTAGTTATGCTCGTTTGGAACGTACTTGGCGAATATGGCTGGTGAGTAGGTTTCAGTACCGGTGGCCTTCATGGACTCTTGGTTGACAAGACGTCGGCGTAGGGATAGTAGCGGGCTTCGGTAACCCCTTATCGAGTATGACTCCCGAAGAGCGAGATGTAGCGTTAAAGGCAAGTCTTCTAAACTAGGTAAAGTAGTTTATTACTACCTACCTACCTACATTCCTAGAATCAAAGTCGAGAGATATGCAACATCTAACAGCCATCCTTAGACACTTTGGATCTCGCCACCCCTCTGGGGCCTCTCATCCTCCCTAGTCAAAATGTCCATCGTGACATCCTACCTCCGCATCTGGTCTGGCAAGCGTTTCAAACTACTCTGCCACGCCTTCCTATGCGTAATCTCCATCTTCGGCCTGACGCTCTTCCTCGGCGGCATATTCGCCTGCGTGCCCGTTTCTCTATCCTGGGCGCCACCGCCGCCGTCCGGCCCGGACTCGCGTGATCCCCGACGACGCTGCATGGATCTCCCGCTCTTCATGTTCGCCACTTCGATCCTGAATACGGCTATCGACCTAGCTATTCTCGCTATCCCCGCCCCCCTGTTCCGCAAGCTGCAGATCGCGCCGAAGCAGCGCGCCGCGCTTACTGCCGTTTTTGCCATCGGCGTTGTCGTCTGCGTCGCCTCTGTCATGCGGCTTGTTACTTTGCAGCACGTACGCCGCACGGAGGACCCGTCTGTTAGCGGTCTTCCGTTGGGAATTTGGTCCGGCGTCGAGCTCGACTTGGGTATTATCTGCGCGTGTCTGCCTACGCTGCGTCCGATGCTCGCCCGTGTATTCCCGCGCCTGCTAGGTTCTACGGTTGATTCCGAGCTGAGCTGGCGGGGCACACAGCGGATTACTCGCGACGGGAATGGGTCGTATCGTATGCACGAGTTACATTCTGATGACGAAGATGGCAAGTTGGGAAATAATGATGCGGGAACGAGAATAAGTAACGGGACCTCGGCATTCCCCCGCGCTCCAGCGCCATTGCATCTAGACAAGTATAACAAATTTAACAAGTCGTATATGGATTTCGACTAGGTAATAGATAATCTAATTTAATCTTCTATAATCCAAACAAAATTATGCTTTATTATCTATTTGCTCTCGGGTATCATTACAACATTAGTTATACAATATAAAGTGCCCTTCTCTATGCCATTGATCCGGAGGCGCGACGAAACTAACGTTCTAGGTCATTAATATCCTATTCCATCTCCAGAATAGCCCTCTTTGTCATATCATGCTGGACCCAGCCTACAATGGTCTCGCCAACGTCGCCAACAAGTTTTTCGTAGTGGTCGCCTCTGAAGAATAGACTCGTGTGCGCGGCGACTTGATCCATGTCTTTTATGAAGATCTTGACCCATTTCGGATCGACCACGCCGTCCACCTTTGGAACGTTGCAAAATTTACGTTCTTTTGGCGGTTTTGGGGGCTTAGCCTTACCCTGTGACTGTGCCGAGGGACTAGCTAGAGGCGATGCCATATCGGGATCTTCTGACTGCGCGACTGCGGAAGAAGTGCTTCTAAAAGGTCCGTCGTCTGAAGTTGAGGAACTCGACGCAGCAATGGCGGCTGCTTCTTTCTTTCGCCGTTTCTGTTCTTCCTTCGCCTTTTTCTCCGTCTCTTGCGCCATCTTCTTCTTCCTCTTGTCGTAGATTTTCTGCCGTTCCCTAATAGCCTTATCATGGTCCTTTACGAGCTTATCGTAATCTTTCTGTATCCGCTTGGCTTCCTTCTCAGCTTGTTTCCGTACATCCTTATCTGTATACTGGCTAAAATCTGGCGGGTCGGGTCTAACAGGAAGTTCTGGTATTGTAGGAAGACCAATACTTAAAGATGCCACAGCATCGGTAAGATCAGTTGTTGAGATTGTGTCGTTGTCTGGAGATTGCTGAGACAAAGAATCATTATGGGGCTGTTGAGAAAGCGCTTTCGTATCACTGTCATCACTATGATTGACCGATATACCGTTTTCTGGGACCTTATCCTTGATGTCTTTTAGGGGCTCATCAAATGTGCTAGCTTCAGGTATCGGTTGTGGCTCTTCAGACATTGGTTCAGGAGCAAGTAACTGCAATTCTGGGCTTTCGGAATTGCCATCGAAAGAATCTCGCAGTAGAGTATTATTGTTGGCAGCATCGAGATCTTGCGGGCTTGAGGGATGATCGTGACCCTGGACTGAGATTTGCGGTGCTGGGGGAGCCGACCGTGTATTTAATATGGTCTCCAAGGCTTCTGAGTTGTTATTGGAGCCTGGATCTTTAGGTTTCTTAGGATATCCGTTGCACACAGTATAGTATTGAATGAAGCGAACTTGTGGGGGTACATGAGGGAATCCATGATCTTTTAGATCGTCTACATCCTCCAATCTACGAATATTCTCATATCGAGTCTTCAGGTTATTTAGATCCATGAGGCAGCTTCCGAATTCCAGATGCGACATGAGGTGATGACTGACAGCGTCTAGCAGACCTTCGGAATTATGCTTCTCGACGAAGTGGACGATGTTTCTCCACCAACCCCTATCCCGAAGTGGGACATCATTGACGAAAGATGGATTATAATTTGGATCGAACGTCATACCATATGGAATCCCTTGCGGTCCAGGGGACTGGGAAGCGCTTGATGGATCCGAGTATATCGAAGTGTTTGCCGAGTTGATGTTAGATAGGGATAGGACTGATTCATCTTCTGGCATTGGCACCTGGGGCAAGTTTGCTGTGTCCGATTTAGGCCGAAATAGACTGGCAATACCAGCTGTAACGACACTCGCATGTAACCCGAGGAGGGGCGCATCTAGATTAACTGTCCCTATGATGCGATGAAGAAAGTACCCCATTTGGTACTGGTTTCTAGATGGCTAGTACGGGTTGTGAGCTAACAAAATAATATACCTTAGGCAGGTAAACCAGGTCACTTACCATCAGAGCAATATCGGCAGCCAATAATCCTCCCATAGAATGGCCGACAAGAACCACGTCGGTAGTGGGAGATTCATGAGGGGCTAACCATCTACTGAAGTTATCGCGGGCTACATCAAGAGCCTTGTAAGTTTTATATCTTGGGTAAATCTTAGAATGGACAGTATGGGTCTCGGATAAGGCGAGTTTAAGGTACTTGTGCACATGAGCGGGAAAGGATTGAAAAGAGGCATCGTTGCCCATAAAACCATGTATATAGATGACTAGTAGTTTACGGCGTCCTGAATCATCGTTTTCGGATGGAGAAGGAAGCAAAGACTGTGTGGAAGAGGATCGCGGGTCATCTAAGGTAGAGAGCGATAGTGTTGATGAACCCCACTGAACGCCAATCGTAGGACGAGGGACGTCCAAAGACACATCGTCCGGAGATATACGATCCATGGTGACGATGACGTGAGAGTAAGAAGTTGAATGTGAGAATCCCTCTTGGGAATAATATATGCCCCTATTCAGACCAAGGAGGCTTAGAGGGCCGGTGACGTAAGCTGGGGTCTACCAAGGTGTACTAGTGTTGGGCGGCATATTTAGTAGAATTGGATTGGATATGCCAGGTTTTAGATGGTGTAGAACAAGAACATTATGAAGAACTTGTGGGGGTAATAAAGTAGAAGTAAGAGGAATAGATAACTATATGCGGATTAAACCTTATCAAAGGCAGTAGGAATAGTAATTGTAACTAGTTAGTAGTTGTTATATTCGTAGTTATAATTCGTGGTTATAATTGTGGTGAAGTGTGAAGTGGTAGATGATAAGTAAAGCTGAATTCCAATGCGACATATGCATTCAATACTTGTAATGTATGTACTCACTGCAGTGCGGGGCTTGCATTACAGATAAGTGTGTACCTGCCGTATCGACCCGCTCTGCCCGCTCCAGCCCATTCGCGCAGCAAACACTTAATGTTAAGTACATTGTACTTTATATAAGTTACATTTGGAGGCCTCGACTATAAACGCTTGATTACTGTCTCCTACGATAGTAAAACAGTATATATGAACATACCATGTTGAAAGACTTATTCTTTTCTCTCAGTATATCATGAAAATTTATGACGACGTAGCTTAATATAATATTAAAAGTGACAGGTAGCTGGCCTGTTATGTTAACTTTCTATACGGACCTCATCAGTCAAATCCTCAACAGGCTCTTGGGTCAGACTATTATTCATACGAAGAGCACGAGAACTAAGCGGAATCAACTAATATGGGTATACAGCGTCTTAGATATTTTGATGCCAAGTCAAATCTTATTTAACTATCACCACCGAGCCAAACGGCTGGTTCAGGGTCCCTACGGACAGGATGAAGGGCTGATTTCCATCAGGCTTGCCTTGTGAAAGACCTAGACTTCATAACTTAATCCTCAGGTCACATAAACTTGTAATCAAGCTTGAACCAATAATCCCGCAATCCCCTAAATAGGCCCCCCCGTCTCAAAGAGGCATCAGCACTGCATCAATGACGCTGCGCTCTCTCAAATGCAAATGTATTATAAAAACACCGTGCCCTTTTCTGTGTACAAAACACACCTAGCTTCGGCCTAGACCTGAGAATGCTCACAAGTAAACCAAGCCTAAGGGGAAGAGATGGTTACAACTGATATGGTATTCGATCTTAACCGCATGTAGAACTAGGCACCCCAAGTAGAAACTCGCCAAGTGTACGCATCCTGTTCATAACGTTGATCATTGCACCAATACAGTTGAACCCCATAACTCTGGCCGAGGTGATTTAATTTTGTCTCCAAGCAGTATATACGACAAGCCAAACTAAGCCGCCTGCCATCCTAATTCATCGTATGACCACATATGCCTATGTTGCCTACTGCCTGTTGCTTTATTTCCCCTCGTCCAAACGCCTTACGCCATGCTAAAATCATGGGAAATGCAAATAACCGTAATGGTCTGCGTGAAATTTTTGGGTTCAACCCCCAAGTCTCGAACCTGTTCAACGCTGTAGATGCACAAAATTATCATATCTCGTCTTTAACCGGGTATCTCAAGGTCACGTCCTAATCTTGCCACTGTAGTTTTGGCTACTGGCGCTTCTGAACGAAGACATTTCCCCAGAGTTCTGTTATCGGTCAGCAAAGAGACTTGCAGAAGACGGACGATCTGCATGTACCTGCTTTCTCCTCTTGAGCTTCGACCGTTCATCTGCATCACCAGTTGAGTATCCGCCCGTATCGTCATCACCATAGCCTTCGCCGTATCCTTCAAAGCTGCTGTCTTGATAGCTTCGCTTTTTCCCAATCCGACGAGCACGATCGATCTGCGGCGTCAACGGCTTGTTCGACTTCGGAGTAATACCAGGGGCTGAGGCAGCCGGAGTGCTAGGTGCCGTCTGTCTCGTGGCTGACTCGTGACCAGCTTTCTTTGGCAAAATGCTAGGCGCTAAGTCGCCGAGGACAGAGCTATCCCAGGCCGCCTTGGGTATGGAACCTTTGGCCATCGCTACTGCTCGAGATAGATGCGCTTGGTGGGTTTGCGACAACCCTTTCTCGATCTCCTTTCCGCTTACTTCCTTACTGAGCCATGTATCTTCGTCAAGCCCAGCCAATGCCAATAGGCCATCGGGGGCTTCGAGCTCTTTCTTAACCGCATCAAAATGGCCGCTTAGTCCCAGAGTCTTTATTTGACCTTTGTACGTCTTACGTAGAGCATTCTTCTCTCCGTTGGGCTTTGTACGGGCGACCTCAGCAGCGATGCCGGTCAATCCGAACATCTCAAAGAAATCGTCCGATAGACATGGGTACGAGGTGGAGTAGGCTAAATACGAAAAATAGTGTCAACCAAGAAGTATCAAATCCCATTGAAGCAATGCCTTTGATAATTACCATCAATCTAGGAAAGAAAAGACGGCAGGATGCATAGCATGTATGAGACTAAAGGGAGCCTTACGAGTACTGCAAAGGAGGTACTTTTCACCAACATCCAGGTGCAGGTTCTCAATACCAACTCGGCGATTCTCGAGGTTGACTTTTTTGTGCTCATGATCCCCAGCATCGTCGAATGGGTATTTTCGCTTGCTCGAATAGGCATCTGCTACCGCAGTTTCGTGAGACATGTCGGTTGGTTGGGCGGACCCGTTCACGCTATGTGCAGGCTATGATGGTGAGAAAGTTAATGAATATTCCATAGAAATTTGAGCGAAACAATGAAGAGACGGAAAAAAATATAAATATATTCAGGGTATTAGGTGCTCGGGATGATTCCAGATTTGAAGAAGAAATTTTTTTACCGTCGGTAGAGCTGTGGTAATTGAGGTGGTCATGGAGCTGTTCATGCTTGACACCTGGTCACCTGTAGTCGGGGAAAATTGAGAGGGACTCTGGGGCGTTTGAGGGTTGAATAACATGGTCGCCATCGAGAAAAGTAAGCGAGAATGATAGGAAATTACGGTGCGCGGTGCGATTCGGAGGTAGAAAAGTCGTCGGAAATTCCTAGTGAATGCCAGCAAAAATTGACGCCGCAAATGCTGACAAAGTGGGAATGTGAATGAGCGTAGCGAGAAGTCGGAAAGGCCGAAGAAATTTTGAATACGGTAGGCCGATTAATTTTTTTCTAATGCGCTCGATGAACGATGGACGATTGACGATAGGACGGTGTTGAGGAGTGGAATGATAAAAGTCGATCGATTTCACTGTGGCGAGTCGCGCGAAACCGCCGACCGGCTGTTGTGGTCGAAGATACCCGAGTCTACCAGCATTCACCGACTTAACCCTTCTACAACGTCGTATCGGTGAATTAAAAATGATGTTCCTAGCAATATCGAAGCAGCTCGAGTGCCTATGGAGGATATTGCGATGCCTCGTCGTGGTAGTTGTCGATTGCGGAAGACAAAATTGACGGGTCTTTGGGTGAAAGGACGCAAGGTGAAGTTGTTGCAATGGTGACGAGCAAAACGGGCGGACGGGGGGAGAATGAAGTGCAGGTGGTGCCTTGCGACTGGGCAACTCGCCTGTTCCGCTTGAAGTCTCCAGTTTTATTTAAATACACCCCTAACCGCCCTAAGCCTAAACTCACCCCTGTAGACTCACCTACATACTACAGTACATATATACATACCTAACTCCTACCTAAACACCGGGTCAGGTTTGTACTACACACCACCAATGTCTTTAAATATGTACATGTAAGGTACCTTATTTATACCTAATAACTAGGCCTTACACATCACTTACATTTATATCATTTATACCTCTTTGTCTTGCCTTGCTTAGATAATATAGTTAGGGTAAGTTGAAAAGTGCCGGCTGTTAGATGGGGCTCCTAGCTCATTTGCTATTAACGGAATTAAAAACATTTTATATTTACTAGCTGTTAAGTAAGTAGGTATATACAAAGGTATGGAGTTCATTATGTTCCCTATCAAATTTTAATGTGTCTTACACATCAATGCCTCAGGTAGGCTTGTATTTTCCCTTGGAACCCATCCGCGGGTACTTCCCGATAATAAGATGCCCCTGGAAGTAGATCTTAAAAGATATATCAAACAACAGGGGCTTAAATCACCCTTGACACTCTCTCCACCTGATAGAGTCCGAACGGTAAATTCAATATCAATCTATAGAAACCTGACATACAAAGCATGGGCGGACCCGGAAGTTCAACCCGCCAACCCTAGTCAAGGCAGTCAACATAAGCTTAACTTAGGAGCTTCTTCAATCTTGCAACCCCAAGTAGGTATTCCTCAAACAGGTATTAGTCTCCCTAACACGTGAGAGGTCTTGGGTGGAGCTAGTTAGTTGTGGTCACAAAGACCATAGGGGTGACAAATGTTTGTAATTGATTGTAATTGATATGATACATTAGGTACTCAAGTAGGTTATTAAACAAAGCAGATGCTTTTGAGCAAAAATAAGGTATGTTATATGTATAAAAGGTAAATGACAAAACTAGGACAAAGTTCCATTCTATTACAAATCAGCCAATTCTTACAAGTCAAATAACAAAAGGACATAATAAATTACTAGTAAGTATATTATGTAGGTAGATTTACAGATCTGCATATTTCGTACATACATGCATGTTAAGTACATGTATCTTACGTACCTTAGGTAGGTTATTCAGCATACCGAGTTCGGAAATACATAGGTACATACTTAATACATCTCCTCCCCTTGCCCCCGCTTATTCGGGTCTATTCTTATAGTCACGACCTACCCGTCAAGGTGTGATTACCTCATTGGTGGGTATCCATTTAAGGGACGAGTCAGGCGCCGAGGAACGCGGTTACGATACAAGACTTTAAGATAGCACACAATCCGAATCCGACAGTCTCCGTCAATCCATTCAATCCCACCCATTCAGTCAGTCCAGTTTCAAATACCATTCAACAACTCTTTACTACCTAACCACATCGGGCAGAACGGTTCCAAATTCGATAACACTTCTCACGATTTTCAAAGTTCTTCTATTGTGTTTCTAGCCACTTTGTTCATCCGACAAGAGGCATCGCATAATCCACCCTTATTTTACGTTCCCAAGTCTTTGGCTTGCATTCTTATATTTTCTTATATTTTCTTAGAAGTCTTCAGCCTACTGGCGGTTTGATTGATAAGATTTCTCCGACTTCTACTCCGGGGCACGCGAGCTACATCCTCCTGTCGCACCGGATTCACGATATCCTCCTTATCTATACCACAACCTCCGATCTATTCATTGCCATGTCGTCGACAAGACTTGCTGGCGGTGCTAAACATCGGCTAATGTCCGAGATGCAAGAGCTCTCAAAAGAGAAATGGGTGAACATCGATGTAAGTACTATAACTCCCTTCATATTCTAACCGTATGGCTAACTTTGTATACTTGTAGTTGGTGAATGCCAATATCTTACGTTGGCGACTTGGTCTTATTGTCGTTAATCCCGACAGCGCATTTAATGGAGGCTACTTTAAGGTAAGTAACAAATTAGAGTATCGTTCTCAACTAAGATCAGCGCTAACATAATAACGTTTAATAGGCCGAGATGACCTTCACTGAAGAGTATCCCTACCAGCCGCCGACCTTTAGATTCCTCATCCCCATCTATCACCCCAACATCTATCCCGACGGCAAACTATGCATCTCCATTCTACACACTCCCGGCGAAGATATCATGTCTGGAGAGCAGGCCAGCGAGCGGTGGTCTCCTTTACAAGGTGTTGAGTCTGTGCTCCGGTCCGTTCTCCTACTTTTAGATGATCCCGAGATCAACTCCCCCGCAAACGTAGACGCCAGCGTAACGTACAGGGACAATCGCACTGCCTACGACAAGAAAGCCAGGGAAATTGTCGAGAAGTCCAAGAGCGACATTCCGAGCGACTTCGTGATGCCAACCAGTCTCGAACCTCCCCCACCACCGAAGCCGGTAGACGACGATGCTGCATTTTGGGACGAAAGTGACGAAGAACTTGATTTCGGAGGTAGTGACACAGGCGATGACGCAGAATTAGCAGAGTTTGATGAAGACGGCGAGGATGACGGCGCTAGCGACGACGACGATAATTAACATCACCCCGTTCTACGCAATATTTGACATTCACTGCTTGTCCTCCAAGAATGGGTCGGCAAAGAATTTCCTGACTCAGTATACAGTTGCATAGCGGGGGTAAGGCGTTTACGGATCTCTTGCACCTTTGGCGCGCATCTCGGTCCGTCTTTTCGTCGTATTGGATTACCATTGATCGACTTTTCCCATCTTCTTTCAGATAGAGGAGGCTCCATGATGAAACGTGGACGCCGAAGACCTTTCTCAGCTACTATTAACTTGTAGCATAATCTTTGAGAACCCTCGACCATATTTATAGATGAAGGACGATTGTCACTTGGGTATAAACGCAACCATACTAATTACGCGTTACCCTTTCGTCCGACTTAAGAATGTCACACCTAAGTTATTAAACGGGTTATGCCTACCTTAGGTACCTAAGGCACTTAATGCCGTGCATATAGCAATTCTACCACACGTTACTTCTTACATACTATAGAACAAATGTCTTTGTACATATATTCTTAGTTATAAGTATTACCCATCACATGTGAAATGAGAATATCATATATAACATGACTAACCTACCTTAGGTAGGTACTTAAGGTACCTATCGTATTACACTGAACTGGCTCTGCTGCCGATTCCTAGTCCATTTCCTAGTCCATACTCCATACTTCTTATCGCCAAGGTAGTAGGCCTCTTCCCTAAGACTTGGCATTTGTTTTGATATATGGGTACGACGAGAATAGACGTCACAGGTGCCATTCTAGATATTCAACTAGCAGATCCGGCACACTGGCACGATATCCGGCAGTAGTAACATTAAGTGCCTAAGGTAGGTAGGTATTTAAGCTGACTTACGGCTATGCATATAAGGCGAAGGGGTAAAAATTTTCAACGACACTTCATCATGATGTATTCTAGAGAACAGGCGGCGTGGGTTTATTAAAAAAAAAACTACCCCATTCTTTTTCCTAAGGCTTACATCTTAAATAAGCCAGCGACTCGCATGTAGGCCGGTATATGCCGGTGAAAGCCAGTCAACAGCCGGCTAACACTTGCCGAGGCTCGATTTAGCAGTCAGCATAGTTGTCCATTATTGTTAGTTAAGGCAGTGATTATTAATTCTATAAGCCTCTTTCAGCTTTATCCTATAATTGATACTATTCGTGGATAACTTTCTGGTAATAATATTCTTTTTGAGTGCATTTCGTGTTCCATTTATCAAACCGGCCAGGTAACACGTAAATAATCCTCTTATCAGTCTCTACACATTCTAATGTTACGCCTCACTAAGTCATAGTCGACGACCTACGATCAACTTAAATATTAAGTAGTAATCTATACATATTAAACACTGGTTGTCGAATTTTTGAATACTAATATAGTCTGACTGAAAAGCAATGCCATTCATCAACACTAGTTACTACCAAACTAACATGTGTGTCTACAGAATGACATAATATTACTACTATTATCAATAGAACCATTTAACAGACGTAAAATAAGATTAATTACCTCGTTATGAAGCATAGATATAGAGGTTGTAGTATACCCTTGGGAACATTATTGAATCTACCAATAGTACACTGAACGGCTACCCCTAAATTATTATTTACAATCATTGTTCGATGAGAACTAAGTTTCCAATAGCACTCTATAGCAACATTTACTATAATCCATAGGTACATATTACTACTTGTTTGTATAATGTTCCTCTACCGTGGGGTGGACTTATAGGCTATGGAGACGAATTCATCACTCCACAAGAAAGCTTAACCAAACATCTGAAGTTCATGGTCTTCCTTATGGATGTATCATCGAGTTCTTAACAAAATTAGCTCTCGAGCATAAGGATCCAGGTCTCGTGCCAGTATTTGTTTCTCCCAGCTCGTTATAACCAAAAAGGCATTTTGATATGGAAATATATTTAAGTTTGTATTTTTTCAACAATAATTGAGCCACCATAAACCCAGGTAATCCAGTATGAACTTACAATGCAATGCCGTTTTAATAAAACTGAACGCATTATGCCTCGCCTCTTTACGTCTGGTCTGTCAGGGGGTTTATACCCAGGTGATTGATGTCATACACAGAGTGAATATCTAGGATAGGTAGACCAAAAGGATGATATATTGAACTAGTAACGCCTGGCTTCTACTCTCTTTCGAGGGCGCTACGCGCCCTTATATAGTAGATAGACCCCTGTAGGCCTCCTTCCCCACTTATACCCTAACATAGTCACTGAGAACAAGAGTATCTTGCATTAGAACAGAAACTTATAAGTTTAATACTTGTGCTAGTTAGGCATTGCTAAAGATGACGACTTGAGTTAGCCGAATTCTTAGGTCGTCAAGAATGGAGAGACGTATATAGAATAGCTACGATAAATATTTCTTGAAGACTTATTTAACCCATATATTTCCTAAATGTCTATACTTTTCAATATGTAAGGTTATTCGGTTTCGGGTAACACTAAAAATGATATATTATTAGACTTAAAGCTAAGCCTCTTATGGAAATATTAAGCGTAGTGAGATCTATACTATAAAAATGACGTCTTTAAGTTTTATTAGAAACATTGCTTTTACTTTAAACTGCATAAAAGCATCTTCTTATAAGACATTAAAAAGCCTTGAATGATACATCTAGGGGGCCTGAAATGGAATTGGCCAATAGTTAGCAGTAGATTTTATGTCGGATGTAAGACACCTCGTATAGTAAGTATAATAGGTGGCTGCGAGTAGGGCAACACAGCATATTACTTTGCTGCTTAGCAAATGTGGATGTCATGTTAGGAACCGGAGGATTCAAAAAGAAGATAGGACAGTAGAGAATTATTGGTCTTAATAGATGAACACGTGAGTATTCTCGCTTATTTACCGTATATTCGGCGCCTTCTGTTTCATGATAACAACGCAGTATCGGTGAGGTCTCCCTAATGGAGCACTGGCATCTCGATCAGATGAATTTAGATGGAAAGGTAGGTATGTACCCGAAATATCCAATCACGCAATCAAAGATATTCTATGAATTAAAACTGAACATATAAGGCCAAAAGTGTCCTTAGTTTGTCCTAAACCCTTGACTTGGGGACTAACTGGGAGATAACTTTACATACCTTCGTATTGTCTTGACTCTTGAACCCTCCAACTTGAACGTTCTCTTAAAAAGAAGAAAATCAATATGTCGTCAACGCATGGCCAAAGTCAACCGCCACTGGACTATTCGGACTCTGGCCCTGGTATTCTTATCGGTTCTTACGTGCTCGCGTTCGTCACGACTATCGTTGTCGCATTACGGTTTTGGGCGAAAAGATTGACGTCCTCTCCCCTAAGACTTGACGACTACTTGATCCTATCTTGCCTCCTTGTCCACCATTTCTTTATTGTATTTGGTACGGTAGCTGTAGTACGAGGAGGACTAGGACGGGACATGAGAATCATTGCTCAGGATCCAACCGCTGTTGTAATTCTCTTCAAGGTACGTTCTATATAATACTTAACCGAGCTGGCTAACCGCGCAATAATCAGTTTATTTTCATGGTCGAAGTCACTTACGGATTCAGCTGTACTTTAGTGAAACTAAGCGTCCTTGCTTTCTACCTACGAGTTTTCCCCACCCGAACAATACGCATAACGTCCGCAATTCTGATTTTTACGAGTATTTCTTGGACCATTGCCGTACAAGTAGTTCATGTGATACAATGCCGGCCTCTCAAGGCGTTCTGGTACCAAAACCTCCAACGACTCCCAGAAACAAAATGCATAGATATAATACTCTTCTTGATGGGCAACTCGATAGCCAACTGTGTCGTTGACTTCTGTACTATAGTCATGCCGGTTCAGGAAGTATTAAAATTACATATGTCGAGGTCAAGAAAAATAAGCGTATGCGTTATCTTTCTCCTTGGTGGCACGTAAGTCTACATTTATTCTTCTCCTATACCCCTTTTCCCTGCTTATATCCTCTAGTTTTAGAACCGTCTGATTAACCCATTTTAGAGCCTTTGCAGCAAGTATGACTCGCACCCTATCTACTGCAAGGATGCAAAGGGAGGGTACATACAACTTTACTAGTATGATACATCAGAATACAGATCTAGAGAAAATATTCTAATCAATATAGAGCAATCCATCGCGCCTGGCGTTGCTGCGGCTGTGGAAGTCTACGTGGCTATCGTCGGCGCATGCCTGCCAACGCTAATACCAATTTACCGGAAGCTCCGTTGGGGCCATCCTAATGCACCCAAAAGGCCAACCCCTGTGGATGGTATCGTTACAATTGGGAAATTGTCGAATAGGAATCCATTCGGTAGTGGTGTCAAAGGGTCTTCAAAAAAGTTTGAGAATGAGGAAAAGATTATGTTTAGCCCCTGCCGTGGTAGTTGCCAGGTCAGCATTAGTGGCCAGGGTAAACAGCTGTCTCTTCGTACTGATTCTTCAGAATATCCCCTCCAAGGAATTGTCGTGAAGCAAGATGTGACCTGGTCGGAGAATGGAAAATCCGTAATTTAGTTGATTGGATGGTTAGGTAGATTTAGTAAAGAGGGAAGTAACGAGAATAAGAACCAAGCGGAAGTTTTAGGTCTATAAACTAGATGAGTACTTTAAAGAGTCTATTTATTACTATATAATTAGCTCCTTCTATCAGTTCTATGTTGTGTTCGTTGAGGAACTTCTAAAGACATCGTGAAGGCAATTATACCCTTATAACGAGTACCTGCATTTCTCTAACCCCTAATTATAGTTGTTAAAAGTAATGATTCTATTGAGACTCACATTCTTGAGATGCAACTGTGTGCAGATAAGTTAGAGAAATAAACATGAATTTCTCGATGTAGAATACCCTTCGCCTGTGCTAGATAGCGAGTCTGACTCTCAACTCCCATAGCCATGAGACTTGTTGAATATATCCAATCAGTTGGTTACTGATAGCATGCTAAATATTGGCCAGGCTCCTATACACCAGTGGTCTACGGTGAGCATAGGGTGTGTACCTTGTATAAATGTCTTAGCCCAGTTTCTATAATAGGCTATGTTACATTTGAGGCCCAAGTTAAAAAGAAAATCATAAAGTTTGGTTGTGTTACAAATCTAGCCAGTGCAACCCTCACACCGGCAACAATAAATGTCCATATTTTACTATACGTTGAGTTGCGCCCCTCTTGTGGGGTGCTTACCTCGGCTCTTTCAGGTTGCAGATATGATATATCAATACCGGTGGAAATAATTATAAACACTATACCAGGGTTCTAGATTCATTTCGATGTAGTGCAGTGTAGGTATATCCCTTTCTGTACTATGTAGGTAGGTAGTTATGCAACAAATAACTAGGGAGTCCCAAGGAATATACTAGGAGTTATGTCCCTAGTGGGTATTCTACATAGGGATTGTAAACCTAGCATATTTAGAAAACTTTCTGTGGACGTGGTACGAGTGGATCGTCAACAGTACAAGCTTCGTTTTGAGCAGAGCTATGTGTGAGAGAAATCATCACACTGTAGCACATAATGTTATATAACTCCCAGATTCCTTCTAATTTGACAAGGTTCCTCCCTAAATATGCCAAGCCGGACCTCTCTTGAGTTGTATTAAATCGAGATGTTTAGTAGAGTGAAATCTCGGGCCTGTAATATAAACAAGCCATGCGGCCTCGACTTAACAAATAAAGTTCGGAATTGTCACCGAAACTGATGTCATTACAAAGCATTGTCACACCCCTGTATACACATGCAACTGGGGTAACTGCGAAGTGACGTTTTCATTGACCACTGGTATCCATTACTGGACTGTATACACCGGTTATTTTGCCGGTCCCCGATACCCCATCGTGACTATTAAAGAGGATTATAATTCCATGTAGCTTCTTCGCCATTATCAGCCATATTCACACTCATATTTCGTGTACAAACTCCCTAACTGAAATTTGCTATACTTAGGTGCATGGAAGAGACATCAGCTACTCGAAAAGAAATGGTTTCATCACAGACGACAAACAAGCCTGAAGCGCTTGATGTAATCATCGTGGGTGCTGGTATATCAGGAATCAGCTGCGCTTATCGGTTACAGAGTCAGCTCCCCAATGCTCGCTTCACCATTCTCGAAGGTCGGAGCGAGATTGGTGGCACCTGGTCCCAGTTCACATACCCAGGAGTGCGCTCAGATGCTATTATGAATACATTGGCATTTCCATGGCACCTATACCCGCATCCGGAGCCAATAGCGGATGGCTCTCTAATTCTAGATTACATCAAAGACGCTGCGTCAAAGTCTCGTATAGCAGAGCGCATTCAAATGCGTCATAGAGTCTCAGCTGCGGAATGGTCCTCATCACAACAACAATGGACTCTCACGGTTGACCACGACGGAAAGCAAAAATTTTACACTACACGCTGGATGATTCTGGGGACTGGATACTATGACTACGAAGCCCCGCTACAGGCTGAGATACCGGGTCTAGAAAACTTCAAAGGTGAGTCAAGGTGCTTTCTAGCTAAGCAACCATCCTAACAGCTCTATAGGAAAGGTAATACATCCGCAATTCTGGCCCAAGGACTACGACTATGAGAACAAGAGAATGGCGGTAGTTGGAAGCGGGGCCACTGCTGTCAGCTTATTGCCATTACTTGCAGAGAAAACAAGCGAATTAACGCTGATCCAACGGAGCCCAACCTACATCGTTGCGAAAGAAAACAAGTCATGGACGCACAAGCATTTACCACCCTCTCTAGCTTCGGCTTGCCAGCGTCTGTATCATACGATGCACCAACACGTATTTGTTGCATACTGCGAGAATTTCCCTAATTCTGCAAAAGAGCGTCTCCGTAAGGATACCGTAAAGAGGCTGCCAAAGTGGCTCGAGCAGGACCCCCATTTCAAACCTCGATATAATCCTTGGGAGCAACGGATGTGTACGGACCCCGACGGTATTTTCTACGAAGCCCTCCATCGTCCTAACGTGAAGTTGATTACCGGAAACATTACGAATTTCACAGACACCGGAGTACAGACCCAGGACCATGAGACTGGCAAGATAGACATCACCGATATAGATGCTGTCGTGACTGCTACTGGCCTGAATATGAAACTGGGTGGAGGTATTGATATACGCGTCGACGGGGAGACCCTGTCGTGGGGTAAGAAGTATATCTGGAACGGCGCGATGATCGAGGGTGTTCCAAACATGATGTTCGTGTTTGGATATGCTGACAATGCCTGGACTATAGGAGCTGATATAACAGCCTTCCTCGTAGTCCGGGTATTGAAATACATGGACCGCAAAGGACTGAAGACTGCAGTTCCCCAGCTGTCAGCAGAGGATGCTACTACGGAGACTGAACGAATCTTTCGACTAAATTCAACTTATGCCAATCTTGCGGCAGAGAAGCTTCCTGTGTATGGGAAGACAGGAGCTTGGCGGCCGAGGACGCGCCCACCGCAGGATTACATACACGCTCGTTGGGGCAGTTTTAGGAGTGGTCTCCATTTCTCTACTTGATATGTTAGGTACCTAATGTACTGACGGGTAACCAAGGTAGATATGCATGTGGCTATTGTATGTTAGTCTCTAAGTTATAAGTTATAATCTAAGTGTGTACATTTTCCACAGCGCACATTTCCACTTCTCACCATACTTACACCGTCAACCTTTCAGTATTGTATGGAATTCCCAAAATTTATTAACGTGCTGCCTTTCTTTTTCCTTCCGAACCCCAACAAATATGCATAAATCTATCCGATACCCACATACGTAGGAGGTACCTAAGGCAGCCCATAGAAAAAGAAATACCATGCGAACACGGCGTTTACGGCCGTGGGGAAGTGGGGCCGAACCGGGGTTGGTTCTCCATTTCTATGCAAGTCACCCGTATTTATACCCCGCCGCGGCTCAGTCCGGGGATTTCTGATGCATGGGGTATGTTCCAATTTAGGTGGGTTAAGCTGCCGTGTGACACATGGAGACTTCTTATCTCCTAAACTCACTCCACTTATATCAACGAATCGACTTTCTAAAAAGACTAAGAATATACTCTCTTAGGAATGGTGGAAACCATTTGGCCAATGAGATCTAGAAGGATTATAATTCGTACGTACTGGTAGCTAGGTTCGTACTAACTATAGGAGATAAGTATCTGAAGCGGTGATATATAACAATAGTGTGATATATAACAATAGTGTGATATATAACAATAGTGATAGTATATGAATTCTAATTGGCTATATAGCATCACCGCTTCTACTAACACGGACTTATGTTTAAGTGTCATGTGCTACGATTAAGTCCACCTGAGCAAGTGATTGGCATTGTCTCCACCCATCAACCATGGTTTTCAATTTCGGGGCTAGAATGCTATGTATTACATAGAACCTCGGTTACGTCGATGGAATTACCAGCATCACAAGCAGGGTCTAGTCCTTTGTTGATGGATGGGTATAGTGGTAGTACATAACCGAAATGCATACAGTGTCCCGCTTATGCGGGGGATAGAGATAACCATTTCCCCAGCCAATATACAGTATCTTCGTCACTCTTTGTAGTCCCTTCGCAGATTAACTCCCCAAATAACTGCATCATGACGTTAGAGTATTGTCTTCGTCTGATGTAGACGTATATATTTCGCTAGTTAGCAGCTATACCCGCCTAGTGTAACAATGGCCGTAGGAGTTTGTGATAGAGCATCGTGCTTGTGGCATATAGCTTTTTTAAATATTATTCTTCAACTCATATGCTTATTCAAACGGGCTAACGTATTAGATTCTGAAGTAGTCTTAGTGAAAGGCTTCTTAATACTGCCATACACTCTTCATTAGTATCGGGATGGGGATCATAGCTATTATAGGGCACGATGATTTATTAGATTTGGCAAACCAAGCCGAATTCTACCTGTCTACTTGTTTGATTATCTTAAACGGGCTTTAATGGCACGGACCGGCACGTCCAAAGGACGCCCTGCTGTCAGCGTAGCATCCCACTGCCGGCGGTGGCAGTCGATGCTAAGATATGTACTGCGAGGTGTATATCTGGTAGTATCAACTTGTTAATGTTAGAATTCGTAGCTATCAATGCATTTAACTATACCATATGTCATATACTGTTGTTATAAGTATCGCTTTCGGCTGATATCATTAATCAGTTGGTAGCAATCAATTTTGAATACGCGTTACCACCCAATATCTGACTGACACTTGAAGAATCAACATAGTACGACAGTCTCCCATCGGGGCTGGCACTGCTTCCAGTCGCACAAAGAGATGGTTCCAACATCAACGCGACGGGCAACAAATGGTTTGCATGCTAGTCGCTCGACAAGCATCACACGTAACTGCCATATCTGGTCATGTTGACGAAGGAAGGAATGCCATTTGCGAGTCGGTAAAGGTTTCAGAGCGCCGGATATGACGATAAAGTCGAAAAGCTTTCTATTGCCCGGTGTCGTCCGTCGTGTATTGATCCACTCGAAACTCATCATGTTTAGATGTCCAACAATTGTGCCCTCGTTACAAATTGCCGCGTTCTGTGCAATATGGTCGTTCTCAATGTTATCTTTAGAGAGGAAGTCTATGCCCAGGGATGCTACTGTCGTATTGAAGACCAAAGAGCCGGGAAACATAGTAGCGAATCGGCAGGCTTCCGCATTCAAGACTTGACGGGCAAGGGCTTGGGATGGACTATGGGGACAGTCTTCCCAATCTCGATTAGTTCTCCCATTTAAAGGTAACGATTTGAGCGTGAGGGTTGGTAGCTCGGCCTAGCTTGCTACTTCTTTGATTGTTACTTCGTGTTGGATCCATCGTTCTTGGACATTGAGTTTCCGAAGACCGCAAGCCGGATCTTGGTAATAGAAGAACACCAAGCTTGCGATCTCAAGGATGTCCTGGCTTAACCGGTGGTTGGCGCCCATCCAATCATAGCCAACAGTGCTCAACGCCACTGCCCAGCTCCAGCTGGGTATTTCTGGCATTTCACCCCTCCGACCTGTTTCCCCTGGACAACTCCACATGAGACACTGTGGTAGGTATTTCTCCGATAGGCCGAATAGCATTGGGCAATCTAGTAACCTAGATAGGTATTTAGCTACGCCCGTAAAAGCGTGGAGAATGTCGGTGCCATAAGAAAGTTGGCGGGATGTATAGTTTTGGACCCATCCGCAGTATTCTATTAGAGATGCGGTGTCTTTAATTATATACTCAGTCTCTGTGCCGTAGGAGTGTAACCTAAAGTAGCCTGGAATTTGATAAACTCTGTCTTTGTTAAAGTCATTCCCATCTTCAGCATTATTGCCTACTAGACTATCACCCAGAACCGCTGGCGGACTGGAATTTCTTGAAATTTGAGGACCCCACGTGAGCTCTTCACTTGCTTCTGCTTGCGAACATTTGAATATGACTTGATGTTCCGTAATAAAAAGGCACCGTCGAGAAAGTAGCCTCTCCTGAAACGTCCAACCCCTTCTATTCCAGAGTGAGGAGTCTACCAAACTTCTAATACCATTTGGATTTATTCCTCGTGTTTCTACGTCAGCATCATAGGGAGGGATCCAGATAGACGAATAAAGATCCCGCGGCTTCCCCTGATTACCGGGAAGCCCGTCTCCATTAGGATTGTTAAGGGCTGCCACAAGTGTGAAAGTAGCAGAGCGATATATTTTATCCATAGCCGCTATTTGCGCTGGCTTCAGTTCCTGATCGTCCTGGACGATGCAGAGTCTGTCAATCCAGAGATAAACTTCTCCTAGGTCTCTACACAGCGATATAGCATCCGTGATGACCCTGGGAATGCTGTCATTAATAAGACTCCCTGGAGCCTCGAGGTATCCAACATTATTCTTTTCAAGTTGAAAATCTTTCTGACTGCCAGCCGCGGAACCCCACATGTAGCTTAGAGCAACATAACGTATCGGCCCAGCCGGCTCAGCGATGTTCATGTTTATAACATCAACCACACGAAAGCCCGGAGGAAACTCTATTGACTCGCTATTAGTTTACTTTTCGAATTCTAACAACTACATCTTAGAAGAGCTTACGGATCTGATAGGAATATTCGGTACATTTATTGCCATGAATGGCATCGCAACCTCGAATCCAGCTCCTAATAACCGATATATTGAAAAAGGGCACAGTCCATTCCTCAATTCTATATAAGGTTGAAGTACTGTTAAGAGAATAGTACAAGCAAAACTGTGGTGTTACTGTGAAGAGAGTTTGTCGCTTCTCCTTCGGAGGCATGAACTCGCGAGTAGGATATTCTTTGGAGAGAGAGTTTATTGGACGATTACTGCTTGTAACTTCGAAGTCATCTTTTAGGATACTAACAGTGAGCCTAAGAAATAATTGGATAGGAATACTACTCGGATCAGACAAATCAAGCTCGCGCTGATTAGAGGATACAGTGTCCAGGTATAATGGGCCTAGAACTTCGATAAGGATGCGAGAATCCGGGTAGGATTGTAAGGTGCTGAGGGTACGCCGGCGAATGTTAAACACTGCTAAGGCAGCCTGACAGATCAAGCATTGGGAATTTAGTGAAAGCTCCTCAATAGACATAAAGTTTTGAATACAAGATCCTGACTTATGGAGTTCAATATCATTCCAACCCTGACATTGAGAACAGAGGAGAGGATTTGACATTTGGAGAAGTTCGTGGTCCGGAGTGGGATTTAGTAGGGAGTGATCCATGTCATCAATTAGGTTGACTGTATGTATAAAACTTAATGATAGAAATTGACTTGCAATATGAATAAAGAGAAATGTACAATATAATAACGAATATAGAAGTCATATTTTAGCCCTAGGTTAACTTTTGTCAACATTGTAAGCAAACAATATTACCGTTGTTTTTAAATGATTTAAGCCTTGTGCTGATACTCGTTCTATTATTGGTTTTACGACAATCATGAGGCTTACTACGCGAGGCACTGTATAAGTCCTTATTATTATGAGTGGCTTATAGGTATCTATCAATCACAATCACATCAGCCATTGTGGCTTGGTTATTCTGGATCTGATTCGCCTGTAATATGCTAGCTATCGCGGCTACGGGATCTGAGACGTCTGATCACCCCTGGTCCGGCACCCCCTCTCCCCGTCGAACGATATTAGTCCAAATTCTATATTTTCAAATGTTACCCTCTTAACCTTTCTGTTTTCTTTTTCTTCACGAGTTGATCTCTTCATTATTCACTATTCTTCGTTTACGGTTTGCTTCATCATCAATCCTCTTGTAATTACATCAACTATACTTTGTGGCAGGCCACAATATCCAACGAGTTCTAATTCTTCGATTCCTCCCGTATTAATTCCCTAAATTACGAAACACGCGCCGGCATCATGTTCCGCACACCGTTCCAACTCTTCGTCTTCCTCCTTTCCATCTGCAACATTGCAGTCGCTGAGGTTGATGCCACACACGATCTGCTACCTCGACAAAGTCCCAGCGCGAACGATGTGAATTCGCCTCTCTGCCAGAACTATGCGCTAGTAGCCAACCTTTCTACCGTCGCATTGAACTCTACATATCGCGCAGCTTTCCTACGTTCTTCTCCTCTTGGAACGTTTCCGGCCAGGGCTATTTTAGATGTGGAGTCCCCGAAACTCCCGGCGATGATGATGGATGCCCAATTGAACCAACGATGTGGAAATTTGTCTGAGGTTGCTCTCGCTGGGGCCGCTGCAAATCTTAGCGCAGGTACCGTGCTTGGACTACCGATCCTTGAAGCGCCTGGTATTGATCCCGCCAATGTTGCCATGCCTATCGTTGGAATCGCGATCTTCTTGATGTTTGGTGGAACATGGCTTGCATTGTAAGCTACTCTGGTATAGGGATTCCGTGAAGATTTAAGGGAAATTTGAAATTTAGGGCCTCCTTTAGTGAGATATTCAGTTGGTTTATGGTTGGATGTTGCAATAGGGTAGATGAATGCATCTCGGAATTGTTATGTATAGAACTGTCTAGTTTGCCGTTGGGCAGTTGTACTGACAATATAATGAAACGATGTTTAAGTGGCCAATCTTGGGTTCTACAGCGTTAATTTGAGAGTTACTCTTATTGTAGTGTACTGTACCTTTCACATACCCTTTTATCTTGGGATATATGTTATTTTATAATTGCATTTATTAAAGATGGATATTATAGCATGTATTGCTGTATAAGAGCGTGAAACTCGACATCTACAACTTATCAACGTAGCAATACCATATTTGTATAAGTACCTAACCTAAACTATATTGGATGAGCTTAAAGCCGAACCTTAGAATAAAATTGAAATAGTGTAAGAGCTGTGTAGAATAAAGATAAAAGAGCTTGAAGCATCCCGCTAATTTTACTTCTGCACTTGATACGCCTGCGGGGTAGTCGAACTTAACTAAGGTATAGGTACCTACCTGTACTACCTACTATACTAGGGTTTCGCGTACGAACATGTATAGTTGCGTAGTGTAACTATATTGTAATCAGCTAAGCCTTACGATAGCTCCTCTTTGTATTGCACATGCCCGGATAAGAAAAAAAAAGCTCTAACTTTCATCCAAGTTACAGACAACATTTACATACGTTATCTTTATCGGCCATGTTCTTGTTTCAAAATATTTAATCTTGTATTACATATATGTTGCCTAAAGCATCGCGGTTACCTCCTAGGGTGTCGGCGGGAGCGCAGTAATAGATTCGCATACGTACTCTTTCCTTTCCCATCACTTTTCGTTACTACCATCATCTTCCATAACTCCGGATTTCTATGTAATTTTCTATGATTTACTAGTCATAGCATAACGTGCTTTCCTTAAGATGGCGACAACAGGTGAACCGACGGAGGAGTCTATTACTCTATTTTGTGACATCACAGACCTTCCCCGAAACGAGGCCATTACCCGCTTAAAGGTACTTTACAATCACCTCACATTTCACCATTTCATATCCTTTACTAGCAGCGCTGTATCTTGATATTAACTTCATGAATCTTTTCTATTTAGGCAAATAATAATGACCTCCAACGCGCGACCGAAGAGTATTTCGAAGATCCCGACAGTCAGAAGGTACTTCATTACCTTTTCCTACCCTCGTAGCTCTGTCGATATATATAACCTCTAGTCTCTTACACTAAGTTCTCTATAGTACAAGTGGGATGAATCACAGTTTAGCATGGATCGCCATGGCGAAGCGACTGGTTCGGGGATATGTGCGGTATTCATTTGCCTCGTAGCCAGGTTCGTTACTAAACTCTTGTCGCAGCTTTCAATATCCAGGGTCCAGATGAGCTTGCGCCTACTAGCTATCAGAATAATACGGCTCCGACCAGACCCCCTTCGCGAGCTAATAACACATCCTCTTTTGGTATTGCTATACAACAGCTTTATGCCTATCAGATAATAATACTAACCCATACTTGCCAGGTGCACCAGCCAACGCTGCCGAAGAAGATGCAAATTTAGAACGGGCCTTAGCCGAATCTGCCGCCGAGTCGGGAATTCAACGCCAAGAAGCTGGTATTATTGACAACGAAACGAACCTAAAATATTTTGGTCCTGCAAACCGACCGGAATATGATACTGAACAGTGGGCTATGGTTCCTACTAAAACGAGTATCGATGCCGTGAAAGCCGATCCTACCCCGTCCCATAGGAAGCGCGACCCCGAAGCTCCTACATTTCTTAGACAGACCAAGGATCACAGGGTCGGTTTCATTTTATCGATTTACCATAAGATCCCGGCTGTCAGAAACATTCTACTTCAGTGCGGAAATCCAGCTAAGAACTATGGACACAACTCAGAATGGTGGAAAGGTCAGCCAATTCTTAAGCATGAACATTTGGCGGCGATGGCAAGAGGAGAGTCGATCTGGGGTGACGAGGCGCACCCGGAGTTTTCCGAGGAGCTTCACCGTCTAATGGCCTTTCTTGATAAGACGGAACGGAGTTATGGGACTGTTGACGGTCTCATCGATACTAAAGCAATTGACCCTAGCTTTGGAAGTTGGATGCCTGACGTTGAAGATAAACTCTTCGAGGCTATTAAGGAAGAGGCCCCTAGCAACCCTGCCTGCGACCTAGAACCTATGACTACCATGGGAACTGTCCTGTCTTGTGCCCCTGTACAAAGCGAAGAACTCCTACCAGAGGGCGATGCTGACAGTTGGGGCGATGAAGAACAAGATACCCCGTTTATATTCCTGGATTTGGCATTAGACCATGAACAGTACCAATGGGTGAACACATTCTACGACGCGTTGGATAACTTGCTCTGGACACATGCATTAGCACTGGACCATTCCTTCCCTGAGGATTCCAATTATGCCGTATTATCCAAGCCTGCAGAGATTATGACAATACGGCTTAATGGCACCGGTTTAGTCAAGCCCTGTGAGGTGCCGGCCGTGCTTTATGTGGATCGGTATATGAGAGATCGAAAGGATCTTGGGCTCAAGTTCCAGACCTATATGCGCCTAGCAAAAAAGAAGCTACGCTTATACGATCTGTTAGAGGCAAGTTTGGTAAGATGTCACGGTCAACATTGCCAGAAAGTGAACGGATTGGGCAATGGTCCTCATGACCTCTTCGCTTGTCTAAATGGAATCATGAAACACAGCGAAAGAATGATGCAAAGTCAAATTAGGGCTGCGCAATGGCGTTATCATTATGATCGAATGGAGGAGGGACTGGGACTCGGCCTTGGAGACCTTTACGATATTCATACATGGAGCGGGCCTTACACATTTCTCCCCGAAGAAGAAGAGAGAATGAAAAAATGGACAAGCGTTGTTGATGAGTGCAGAGAGAAACTTGAAGAGCTTAAGACGGATCTGGCGAGTAAGTTTATTCTATTTTCTTTGGAAAAGGTGGCATCTTTCTAACCTAATCACAGACCTTGTAGAGGCAAAGAAGGCATACTACGACTCCATGAGAGTGATTTCGAAGCGATTAACGTGCCAAGAACACGAAGTAGACGATGAAGAATATGTCTTCCGGTCGACCACTGCCTATCATCCAGAATACTGGAACCCCACTCATAAATACACCCTTCGCGGCGTTGCGCTTACGAATGAACTCGCATATGTATGTGTCAGACAAGGGGGCGATTCGATGGAGGTCGATGGGGGACCTGCTTCCTTGGATCAGTGGTGGAAAATAGGATATTCGTCGGGCGAAACAAACCCAATCAAAACCGAGGTACGTTAATGTTAAATACGTATTCTTCTCAAATACTCATCAAATTTCGCAGAAAGCAATACTGGAAGACGTCCTCCACGCGGCCGGGACCGAGTCTAAGTATCCTATATTCATATATGCATCTGAAGCCGCTATGGAAGCAAAGCCTCTTCCTTTGTCGGATGCTCTACGGGTATGTCACATATTCACTTTAATAGAATGGGCACTAAATATCTCTATAGATGTTCGTACGGGCCGACAATCGCTCATTTCAACAAGAGCTTGCCCAAGAGCAAAGTCCGGAACAATTACAGAATCCGGACCTCCCCGGAACCGGAATCACAGCCGAGAATTTATCTTATGTCCCTAACATAAAGACGATCAAACGAAAACATAGCATTGGTTCGTCGGTAGCAACACGCGGCAGTTCTCGCGATGACCTCGATGATGTTGATTTAATATTTGATAATCCGGATCAGTTCCCAACCTATCCAGCACTGGGTAATTACTACGAACCAGTTGCTAGCAGTAGCCCCCAGTCTAAGAAACTTGGCGGCATTGTTGAGTCACTCGCAAATTGCCGTACTAATGAAAATGAGCCGACGGGATCAGGGGGTTGGGTCACAAATGAGCAGGAACACTTCTCAGAGATGCAACCTAGCATGGAACACAGCAACATGGAGGAGATGCAAACTTTTGACTCTGACACATCTAAGCCGCCTGAGATGCAAGAGCGCACTGGAGGACCCGCGCCATTCTTAACCCGGTCCAGCCATGAGACTCAGAGCGGTCCGATCGACATGATGGACATTGACCTGGATGTAGAACATCACGAATAATTGTCACCTCATCAGTGGCTTGGCGTTATCTGGATTATAAGGTACGAGGTACGAGGTTCACGTCTATGACAAAATGTACAATGAGGCATGGGTGGGGCATAGGTATTGGAGTTATGATGAGACAGGATGTGGCGATGAATGGTTTATGGTTTATTAAATAAATAAACGGGGTTGAGCTATGCTGTCGAAATTAAGTCTTGCGTGGCGCGTATGGTATACAGCACATTGACTTCATGATACCCAAGGCCGGATAATGAATAGGCATAGGGCAAGGAATTATAAACATTTTGACTTTTCTATTAAGAGTAGTTGACGGGATGATTAAAAGATGAGATGATACTGTCTTACCATGATAAGTTAATTGATAGGTCAATAGTGTTTTTGCTGGCTTGAATGCATGTATCGTTGTATCATAAATTCTAGAACATTGTAGAATACCTACTCCAAACAACTGCTCGCTACTGGAATGGGCTAAATCTTCTAATGTGAGACAAAAAGCTCAACTGGAATGGAAGACTGACAAAGACACGATAGGGTATGTATATTTGTTTATAGAGGTCGGTTGTTGCCCATGGTCACTTAACTGCTTGTTCATAAATTTGATACTATTGTTGTCAATAATAGTTTATTATTTGCTGAGGTGGTTTGAATCGAACGATAAGCGTGGCTAGCATGCAGAAAATCAAGCTCTATGTACATACCTACACTAATTGTTTTCGCTTGCATCGCTATTACCGACATCGTAACCTAACCTACATAGTCAGGTCCCGAATCTATCCCACAGAAACCCCCGCGGACTCCACTAATTTGATCAGGTATCAGAATTATTAGAATGGTTGGATTGGGTATTTAGTAGGTCATAAAGATATATATATTGCTCCCATCGTAAGTTTATTCAATAATAATACTACCTATTCATATAATGTTACCCAGTCCCGCAAGAGTTGACAGAGGAATCAGAGAGTAAGTCAAGAGTACCTAATTGATGTAATTGGGAGGGATTCAAGTTCAAAAGGTACGTACCTACCTGCATAAGAAATCAAGCTAGTGGGTTGTTCTCATTGGTTCCAGGACTGTCGAGAGCTTAATAGAGACGTAAATGATTTTTACATAGAGCTTATGGTCACCTGATTGAGTTCAACTGGAGATTCCCTCTAAGTATTCAATACTTGAATTATTGCATTGCAACTACTACATATAATAAGTAGCATGGTACTTAAAGCTTCTTATCGTTCCCACTTATCTGTGGCCCAAAACGTCACTTATCCATCCACCTTCTCATCGCCAATTCCCGAATCTTCCACCAACCAGCCCACCACAAAGAAAACCGGCGCTATAGTACATGAAGCTGTTCAACTTGCATTGCATCCAATCTTCTTCAGTTTCAGCATTACCAAAGACAAAAAAGAAACTGATATGCTAACACACTGACACGATTTCTTGTCTTCTTTTCTTTCTTTTCTACAATATTCACAATTATCAACCTTTTCTTTACACCAATTCATTGACACCAAACGAATCCGTCGACCTCGATTCCTATTTACATACACACGAGGATTACCTTAGGTACTCAATCATTTACCTACTCAACCACAGAACCTCATTTGAATCACAGCCTACACATCATTTCCTACACCTGTTAGCAAACAACACTGTCCTATATAATCAAACAAGATGGTGAAAGAGACAAAATTATACGACCAGCTCAGCGTCAAACCAGATGCCACTCAAGATGAAATCAAGAAAGGTTATCGGTAAGCCTACCCCACTCCATCCTTTGTACACCATTCTTTCATTCTACCAAATCCGCCAAATACCACATCCCGAACACTAGATACTAAATCTCCCGCAGAAAAGCAGCCTTAAAGTGGCATCCCGACAAGAATAAAGATAACCCCGCCGCCGCTGAAAGGTTCAAAGAGTGCTCGCAAGCCTACGAGATCCTCTCCGACCCCGAAAAACGTAAGACCTATGATCAATTCGGCCTTGAATTTCTATTACGTGGCGGTGCCGCCCCGCCGCCCGGAGAGAACCCTTTCGCGGGAGCCCAAGCTGGCATGCCTGGTGGCTTCCAAGGATTTGACTTTAGTGGCGGTATGCCGGGAGGAGGCGCTCGGACGTTCCGCTTTAGCACCAATAGTAACGGAGGCAATCCCTTCAACTTCAGTGCGCCCGAAAGTATATTTGCCGAATTTATGCGCGGTAGCGGAGGAGGACTAGGCGGAGACGATGACGAACCTGATCTTAGCCAGTTCTTTGGTGGAGCCGGTATGCCTGGTGGCATGCCCCGAGCTTCAGGTGGGAGAACACGCATGCGCAATAACTTTGCCAGTAGTGATCCCTTCTCAAGCGGCGGACCGAGAGAAACTACGCCTGACGTCACAACTGTCGAGCGTGGCCTGCCACTATCTCTAGAAGAATTATTTAACGGCGTCACCAAGAAGATGAAGATCAAGCGAAAGACCTACGATGACACGGGTAAGAGGACAACTACCGACCAAGTCCTCGAAGTTCCTATTAAACCCGGCCTAAAGAAGGGCAGCAAGATCAAGTTCAAGGGCGTCGGCGACCAAGAGGAGGGTGGAAAGCAGGATCTACACTTCATTGTCGAAGAGGTAAGCCTACCATCGTACCTAAGACATGTATAAACGAATAATCTGACAGAAACTAACCTGATTGATAGAAACCACACCCTCTCTTCGTTCGTGATGGCGACGATCTGATTCACACAGTTGAGTTGGACCTGAAGGAAGCCTTAACCGGCTGGAGACGGACCGTAACGACAATTGACGGCAAGCAACTCAATGTTGAAAAAGCCGGTCCTACAGGTCCAGGCACATCAGATTCGTACCCTGGGCTCGGCATGCCCATCTCGAAGAAGCCAGGCGAGCGGGGTAATTTCATCATTAAGTACAACGTGAAATTTCCTACCAGCTTAACAGCAGCGCAGAAGCAGCAGCTTAGGGAAATACTATAGACGTCAGAGATTGCATAAAATGATATCCAAAGGAGAAGGGACCGGTGCATTTTTGTTTTTTGGCGTTGTAGGACTCAGCAAGCAGGAAAATTTGACGACTTTAACGACTACGAGGGATGAGTTGTTTTTTTCGCACGGAGGCTATCAGCTTCTCGGCCTGAACATTCGATTTCGGCGGAATTGGGCCCGAAATCGCGATGCGAGTCGAATCCTAAACTCTTCGACGATGGGAACTGATAGAGTATAAGTACATGGTTAACTTTCTTGTTCATCATGTTTTTTTTTCGGCATCGGTCCATAGGAATAATCTGGTACGGATAGGATTAACAGGTTAGGTAACTAATCGATTGCATACTTTACAATAGATGCGTGATTATCATTTCATATTTGATTAGATTGATACACACTTGTGATAACAGGTAATCTATTGGCGGTATATATGTTCCTAAAGTAAGTAAGGGGCTCGTGCTGATATGTTAGGTACGTAGTCCAAGCATCTAATAGCCGGTAACTCCGCTCTGGGGATGGCGTAGACCTAGAGTATGGGTTGGCATTTGATATATTAACATGATATTCAGCAAGAATTGCCAATAGTGTGATTGATAATAGATCTACGTGATATGGCAGCACCCTGGTGGTTGGTTACATGCTGGATTGGAATCCTCCGGACAAGGATTAGATGAAAAGGGGGGAAGGGCACGTGTCTCGGTCAGTGATCTCTAACTTGACTACATTGTATTACCTCAACTCTTGCGTAGCTTTATACATCAGCTTAAAGAATTTATTTCCTATCTTCATAACTTCCAATAAATTTGCTAAATGTCAGTTATCAGATAAAGGCCCAAACGGATGTGTGAAAGAAAACAAAATGAACACATTTTGTACCATCATAAATTCGTGAGATATTTTGTTCCATCGCTTTACCATATTGGTAATTATGAAAATGATATCCACCTCTAGAAGAAATCGTAATCGAATAATATTTTCTCTTATCATGATAAGGGGTTTATGGACCTACTGACGAGAATGAAACCCTTGATGTTAATATCCTATACCGTATAGAGCTGAGTCATTCCCAAACCTACCAAGTATGGATTCCAAGGCACATTTATATTCAAGTGGAAGCTGCTGCTGTGAGGGATCCCATAGTAACCCGTAGTCTGTGAAGGCTTGTTGAGGGGGGGGATCCTCCAAGGTTGCGTCGTTGAATATCATGGGAAGTTGCTCCTGGGTGCCAGGGGTCTCCAATACACCGTCGCTTAGATGTCCGTCAGAGTTGAATTCTTGGTTGAGTGTCTCGTCTTCTAATCGGTCAAATATAATATCCATGATAGTTTCAATCATCTCGAAGCCTAGTTTTCGCTGTGACGATTCCTGGAGGGCGTTATATATGATTTCCTGATGTTTTTCCTTCCAAAAGCTTCGGAGCTGCGGTAGTAGTTCTTGGCGGCTATTGCCGAGATATGGTGATCGAGGTTTACGCTCGCCGGGGAAGATAGTGTTCCACATGTAATACCATCTTTCCACGTCATTTCTACCACGGTTTGCGCTTTGATTCAGCTGCTTTCTTTGTTGCTCCGAAAGTCCGTCGAATTCTGGCTTAGTCCTAGAAGTGCAGCTTTTCTTCTTCATGTGCCCATCCTTCTCCTCCTCCGTTGCAAATACTTCAAAGCATACGAGACAGTAAATCTTAGGCTTCATGTGTCTTCTATATGTATGCTGCTTAACATCTTTGATGCGTAATAGCTTGTATCTTGCGCAGTCGGAGTACTTCAGCGGGTCTTTCTTATACCAGAGACATGTCAACCATTTCTTCCTGGGACAATTTCCCTCATTGTCAGATTGTATATTCTGTTTTATAGAAGAATATTTCCTTTGAGTGTCTTCTCCCGAACTCCATCCACGTGAAAATTGTGTAGTTGGTATTCCTTGTTTCCCAATGCTAGCAGTAGAAGGCTGATCTTCATGATTTCCATCAACTTTCCCCAATTCTCCAGTGTCCTGGTTCTCTAATCCTTTTACT